GGGAGGGAGAGAGAGAGAGAGAGAGAGAGAGAGAGAGAGAGAGAGATCCTGTAGCGCTTAAGCTGACACATGTTTTAATGCTCAAGAAAGATTTGGATTTTTAGATACCAGGTTACCTTTGTTGTAGGTCCAGAGGAAATCTAACCCAACTGCAGTTTGTTTCCCTGCAGCCTGGCTGCACCTAATCTTGACTTTCTCCTGTCCTCCTTGTTTACCAAAGTCAGGGAGATGGTCTGACGTTCCCAACGAGGCTGGTCAACACAGCAGATGTAGAGCAGGCCACAGTGACCCTGCAGCCGGAGCCCAGTAAAAGGTGATCAATCTCGGTATAATAAAAGATTTGTATTATTTGACGCGAGGCCCTAAAAGAAGATTTATGTTTTATGGAGGAGTTGTGGATGCACAGTTAATTTAGCTTTTGTTGGGAATGTTTCCAGTGCTGACGATGTCCCCGTGAGCCCCGTGAGCCCCGTCAGCGAGTCCCAGAACCGCCTCCTGAGCAACGACCAGCATGCCAACAACATCGGAGAGCATCAGGCTAATAACACCCTCAAACCAGGTGAGCTCGATCGGCAGAATTAACAAACTCGCTGTCTGGTATCTGCCGCCTTAACACGTTTTTCTGTTTGGCTCCACAGCTGAAAGTGAAACCATCACAATCTCCATGGAGAGCGAGTCCTAACCGGGTAGACGTGAGTTCAGTCAGTCTGTCTGCACGCTAAGCACATTTCGGGTGCAATCAACACACGTGTATCTAATCGTGTTTGTTTCTTCCCTGCCTGCAGGAGAAACTCCTCAGTCGTCTAATATGATGCCTTAAGCGACGCAACGGTTTAGTTTGTCACCATGGCAACGGTCTCCCAGTGCAACCCCATCCCCACCGACCCATTCAGAGTAACTATGGAAATGCATCTTTTTTTTATTTCGCCCAGCACAGTAATGCATCTATGGCATTGGCATTATTGCATGCAGTGTCGTACGCAGATCTCACATCTACCCTCATTGGACATGATGCAATGCAAGCTTGTTCCCTCTCTCTCTCTCTCTCTCTCACACACACACACACGCACACAAACACATGCTAATACTCATACATTCAACTGCACACATATTTCCTTGTGTTGTTTGGTTTTATTTTTCTCGCAAGTGGAGCATTTACTGATGATGAGCAAATTCAAGAAGCTACTTTTTATTGTTTTACTGAGAAACTTTTTGACGCCTCCTGGCTGCACCAGGACTCATTTTATCGGCACAGAGCTGCAGTGAAGAGTGGGCGACGAGCTGGAGCAGTGTGTTTGTCTTCTCTCGCACTTTTCTCGCACTTTTTTTTTTCAGTACATCCCGAAGAGATGGATCAGTTTACCTGTGTGACAGTTTTTTGTCTTTTTTTAAAAAAAAAAAAATTTATTCATAATGTTGGAGCACATCTGTGGTCTGCAACTTTTTCAGATGGATGTTTCCCACCAAAACCTGGACTATCTTACAGAGCACTCTGCTGCATGGTTCAGTGGACTGAACCAGTGCACAACAGGGAGGACTGTAGCTGGGTTTTGGATGGCGTTTTGGATATCAGAGCACAAGGTGGTGCATTTGCACTTAGTAGATTATCAATATCCATCAAACAACGTGCTGCTTTTTTTTTTTTTTTTTTTTAATAATCATGTCCAAAAAGCATCCCAGGTGTAACGGATGTTGGACGATCATGTGATTTATGGCGTATTGTTTCTGAGAATGTGTGTAACAGTTGAAGTGGCAGTCCTTGTTTTTAAGAACTAAAATAATCGGCTTAAAAAGTTTTCTTGTGGCCAACTTGTGTTGAAACATGCTGCTTACGAATGACCTGGAAGATGCATTACAAACAGTGCAATATGCAGCATCCGTCACTTCCTTTGTTCTTTTCCAGTCATGAGTCAGTATGTCAATATGCCGATCAGTGACTCTTATCCCGTAATGTCTACAGCCTGTGTTTTTCTACAGCTCACTGTTTCAGCCTTTACTAAGACACCAACACTCATTGCCAAATAAGGGCTGACCCGTCAGGAGCTCTGACCTCTGAACCTGAAGTGTTTACAACATCCTAGCTTTATCTCAAACTCACCGGTCAATGTTATCGCAACCAAATTCTCAAGTCGTGGTGGCGCAATATTTTATACAAGGTGTGCCTGTAGCGGGTCATGATGTCCTTGCAATACCAAGTGCTGGCCAGCAGGTGGCACAGCCCCCGTTATCTGCCCTCCTTCAGATGGAACTTCCTCAACATGTGGCTCAGGGCTCAATTCACTTTCAGTCTAATTTGCAGGTGCAGCTTTCTTCAGAATTAAAAAAATTTGATTAAAATGCATAACTCATCCAGGTTTCTTGAAATGGAAGTGAATTGAACCCATCTGATGTGATGTGAAAGAGAGGCGCGGACTACAGCTTCTTGTCACCTCGTCTACTCTGCATGCACTCGGGAGTCGCCTCAGCGTTGTGACCTCGAACTGTTAAATGAGCCTCAGCAGTGAACTGTCGGTGTTGGAACATCTGGGATGTGTCAGTGACTCCGTGGGTCTAGCAACATCTGTAAAGGGGGAATATTTGGTTAGACTTCATGACTGCACATGTCGATACCTGTGGGAGAATGGACAATGTCGGTGTAACCAAATAACTGTTCAGGATTTAGTTACACGCTTTACCATGGACTTTTTGTTGTTATATGCAACTTTCCGATTTCACATTGGAGGGATGCCCAGCACATTCCTGATGTCTGTCATTACCCGTGTCTGTCTGATCACGTCCCTGAGTGTTGCTGGAAGAGCCTCCTACTAACTCCATCCCACCCGACTGGTGGTGTACAAGTTTACAGCCGTTTCTATCGTGTAGAGTGAGTTAGTGGCGTGGTACAGTGTTCTTGTTTTCTGGTAATCATTGTCACAGTTGTGCTGAATGTACCACAGACAGGGGCAGTGGGGGCATTTGTTTTCCGAATGATGATGCGTTAAAAAACAGCCCGCTCTTTGTACTTTACGTTAACGTTTTATCCTTCCAATCATGTTTGACCTTTCCATCCCAAGTGTATTACTAATTAGTCTTTGCAAAGCAGTGATTGGAGGACATGTGTTAATGTATGGATCATGCTCATGGGGACCAAGTATCAGAATAACACTGCGGTTCAATCTCAATTAAGCAGATTCAATTACTGTCAGAGTTTATGATTCAAGCCAAGGTTATGTGCCAATCATGTGTAGATCTTTTCTAAGCCTCACACTTAATATATAGTTAAGGGAAAGGTTTTAAAAATAAGAGATGTTTGTTTTGCATCATCTGTAGGGAGCCTGGCCTCACTTATGGCCACTGATTTTGAAACATTGGACCTGTCGTCTTGTTTTACAAAATGCCTGTATTCTCTCTCTGGGCTGTTTGGCCTTCAGACTTGTGTGTGTGTGTGTGTGTGTGTGTGTGTGTGTGTGTGTGTGTGTGTGTGTGTTTTGTAGTGCTTAATTGAGTGTTCTTTTGTAATATCGTCGTCTTGGAAGAAATGCTTCTGTGCAGCCATGAGATTTTTACATGTCAGTGTACATAGATAACGTCTGACTAATGCTCAAAAGCATGGCGCCTAAATTGTGTAAAGATGTGTTTTGCCATGATAACGGGGATTATGGTGTGAAGACCAACTTTGGGTTTTTTTTAATTTACTGCTAGATGCGTCATGTTTTAAATTAGCTTTACTCTGGTTTGTCTCAACTTTATAAACGAAGCCATAAAATCTGCTGTGAAACAGAGGAAGGATCTGAATTATTATTATTATTTTTTAAATAAATAACCATTTTACATCTGTATTCAAAATGCAGATATAGCCTATCATAACCTGCTTATAGCTACACTTTTGTTTTTTTTTGTTACTCTTATTTTACTGTGTGTGTGTGTGTGTGTGTGTGTGTGTGTGTATGTATATATATTGATAATGTAAGAAAAAGACTACATATATATTTTTCTTGTCTGATTAATTTTACTGTTCCTATTTTGTGAATGAAGTAAATGCCTCTACACAATTAACGTGAAAATAACAATAAATGTTTTTTTTTAAACCTCCCGCCTAAATCTGCTCTCATCAGCTTTTTAATTCAAGATATATACTTGTGCTCCTTTAACATTGTCAAGCTCATTGGGGGCAATTTTTAAAAATAGACTTAAATAAAAGCTTTCAATTGAAAAACATTAAAAAACCACAATACCCACAATGCAACTTTCAGGGGGTGTTCTGCTAGTTGCAGCAAATGTAGCATTGACACGATGTGAAAATGATTGGACTTCCATCTTTAAAATAATTGGATATTTATGAAAGAAAGTAGAAATTGAGATGTGATGAGTTTGTCAATGTGGCTTAAATCTTTAATGTAAAAAAAATGTCAAATATAAAAAATGCTGACTACAGCAGCCTTGTGCTGTCAGAACAACAGGGATTTGGATAAATAAACGCTGCCGTTTTAAATAAGTGCTCTTTGTAAAGCTCAGACACAAAACTAAAACGGGCAAATTGAAGAAGAGCGTTCCCCTGTGCTATCTGTCTAACACCCAGGCCCTTGACCCCTGCTGTCGACTGCGCTGCTCTTTCTCTCAAGTCCCTAATGCTTCGTTTTAATTTCCTCTACAAAGGCGCCTCCCATGGCTGTTTGTAAATGATTATTTAGACCTATGGGGACCGAACAGATCCTCAATATCACATTACTTCTGCAGATATTAACAGCATGACTTGCGACATGTAATGTGCATGCCAAGTCGTGGGCCGGAAATTTAAAAAAACAGTCTGAACAAGAACCACACACAATGTTAATTGTAAAAAATACATATCAATTACTTTATTTTTTCAATCTTTTACATTTGACCTGTTTTGCGCGCATGTATGAAGTGCGTGTCCATGCACACGTGAGCTATACGCTCCCAAGGTAATGACCTCGGTGTCAGTTTTGGAGGGAAAGTAAACAGTGACTTGTGAAAACAAGCCTGACCTCCGCAAGGCCAAAGCAACTGTGGTTTCACTGAAGACCTTTTGAATGGTTTATCCATTAAAAAGAAAGTCCACCATTAAAGGTTGATTTAGCTCCAAATCAGTGTTCACACAAACACAGCCAGCCGTGTCCCTTGGCAGGAGACCAGAGCATCAAAACTTCAATGGATGATGCGATCAGATGACAGTGGAGTTGGTCTGGACTTTGAGGCTGCATCTCGATAAATGTGCACTGTTGCTGAGTTGTTCCATTAATCCTCATCCAAGGATTTGTCCCAAGACGTCATCTTCCAAGTCTATCTGTTTTTAACAAGAGACTTGTTCAGATCTAAAAATAAGTCGAAGCAGAATACGGATACAACTTCTTCATGAAGCTGCTGTGGCTGAAGCTTGCTCTGTTGATTCTTAAACCTTTTGTAATAATTAAACTCGGGGCCAGTTGGGACAAACCCTTTCTGCTGAGTCTGGAGCTCCTGGAATAGAAGCGTAAGCTAAGGTGTGCCTTGACGTAGCCAGGACCTACAGGAATTAAAAGTTTGCTCAGACTTGTTAAAATGATTTGAAACGTCCTGTAATGTGTGTCATACATCCTATGTGCAATACTGTGTCATGTAGTATAAAATGTATCCCTGATTTTGTGCTCCTCAGTCTTCTAATCATTCCTCAAATGTGTCCGCACATGCAGCTTAGGATAAAAAAAATCACATCTCAGAGCAGAGCAAAAACATGCTGTTGTGTTATTTTAGCCTCTGGAAGCCAAGTTTGCCTGAACAGACGTGATGAACAGATGTGCTCAACAATTAAAAAAATGAGATAAATGAGGGCAGAGGGGATTTTATTTTTTATTTTCTAATACATCCTTTATTTTACAAGAAAGGTCACATTGAGATACAATCTCTCTCCCGCCTGGCTGTCCCGTGGTCGAGACGGGCAGCAAGCAGCAGAGGTGATCTTCAGGAGTAAGAGAAGAAAGTTAGAGCAAGTTCTCATGAGAGACAATAACTAAAATGCAGAAAATATCTGATGAAATGCACTTCAGGCATCAATAGTATCAGTACCAGTATAATACTAGCTTTAATTCAGCCACCGGACCTCTAAACAGGCCTTTCAGTGTTAATTATTCAAATGGAGCCGAGGGTGCAAAAAGATTTGCAGCAAAGGCCTCACATGAAGATACCCCAGCATGTGTTGCTCTGGTAAAGAGGGGGCATGTGATGTGAGTGACTGTCCACAGGCTCTATTCCTAAGAAACACCCCCACATTATCTCTCTCACACACACACACACACACACACACACACACACACTTCCCCTATCATCAGTGTTGCTGTGTGTTTCCCTTTTCCAGGAACCATGTGGAAATAGTTAACCAGGAATCCCCATCTGAGAAGAGAAAGCCATGTGTCACATGACACAGAACTCCCTGAGAGCAACGCTACACATGCAGCTGAGCCTCTCAGAGTACACCCAGTTACCCACACATTTACTGTGTGCTTCCTCAGTGAGGAAGACTTTCTGTATGTGAATGTGGACTTGACTGAGCTCATGTCAAAGAAGTTATTCCCTAAAAGGCCACATGTTTTCTCAGCTACACCACAGGCCACACAACACACACCAAAGTAATTAACCTAATTGCAACAAGTTGAACATGGCAAAACAAAAATAACGTTTGTGTGACTCAATTCAATTTAAAATATGACAGATTGATCAAAAGTCTTCTAATTTCTTGAACAAAGCTGTTGCATCTGGCAATTTTTTATTTTTTGCTGAATTAAAATGTTGAAAACACCGCTTAAATCACAGTTAAGGAAAGTAAGGCATTTGGCAAATCATATTCATTCACTTTGCTATAAAAAAAAATGGCATGATTGCTCACAATACACGTTTTTTTGCGTAAATTGGTGATTTGGCAAACGACTCTCTGCTCTATGACAGCGGGGAAGAGGCGGGTCCAGCAGCAAGTGTTATAGGTGCCCGGGAGGCAGATATCCCTCTTCGGAAAGTTTGAGGACGCTCTTTGGTTCTTTGGAGAGGAGGGTGAACACGGGCCCACGCGTTTGCGCAACGAGCATCAGTGGATGTCAGAGGAAAGTTGGACGTTGCGTTTGTGAAAAACATCCACCGACGGCAGCCACAATGGAGAGCGGATCCAACCGAACCACTGACCCGACCTGCCCGCTGCAGCCGCCACTCGCCATCGACATCATCCTCAGTGAGTAGACCGGGGTTCATTTCCACCTGATGGTTCTTCGTGGAGTGAGGTTGTACTTTATGCACCGGGCCAGATCTCATCCGCAGGAATCCATCTTTAGATGGGTGTGATTTTTATTTATTTTTTCCTGTAGTTGCCCACTAGAGCAGTATTTCTCAACAGGGATTAAGTGAGTCTAGGTGGGAGACGTCCCCGAACCCCACTTTGGGAACTTTACAGCGTCTAGTGGTCCTCCTGCTTCTCTCTTGGGTTTAAGAGAAAGTAGACGGAGATTCCTCCACAATTTAAGAAGCAGGCGGATCGCATCAAACCACTCAGCATTCCCAGTGAGTTAAGTCAAAACAAATCTAAGATTTTTGCTGGGTTCTTCTTAAGAGCTCTGCTGGATCCTCAGTTTTAAAAACATGTGCAGGAACAACATACTGGCAAGATTCAAATCCAATCAAATATCAAATTATCAAATTGACCCATTTCACCAGGTCGGAGGTGTAATTGTAAATTCCTAATTAGGTTTGACTCGTGATGGATTATGCGTTTCACTTGGCTTTTCACTGCTCATAACGCTCCTTGGAGCTTTTGAAGCATGACATCTGCAGCAACATTAACCCTTACATACTGTTGGCGTCAAATTTGATCCGTTTTGACATTTGACAGCATTAGAAATAACCTAAACGTCATTCTTTTAGCCTGGAATTTGATGACTTTTCCTAAAGTGACCCAAAATACACAAAAAGGAAAATATTTTAAAATGTCATACTTTTGTACAGGTGCTACAAATGTTTGTACACTGAGGCTGTTTCGGGTCAAATTTGACCCGTATCTATTGAGATGGATTTTAGACCTACCAGTGTGGGTCAAATCAAGGAAAATGGTGATTTTAGGGAATCTTGACACTGTGAAACTGTAAAGGACATGTCTGTGTGTACTTTTTATGGGACAGTGGTGACAGAGTTCAAGGGGGACCTCGACACTGTCGCGAGAACTGTCTGTGTTCCCACGACATTTGGTTCCCGCAGAGACAGACACCTGCTGGTCTTTGAAAGGGCATGGGGGAATCTCCAAACAGTGAAATAGTAAAATAGCACAGGAGTGATCATGGTGCACGAAGGGAACAGAAGTCTTCCAGAGGTCAGAGGGTGCCACAAAGTAACATATTTGAATCAATTTGGTCATGACATTATAAAGGTACCTGAGCTGCCATTTCAGTGACTGACATCACGGCAGCAACATTTAGTGTGCAACAGGCCCTCGATCTGTTCTTCCAACATGAGGAAGTTGGTGATTTGGAGGATGTGTCAGAGCAGGAAGACAATGTGGAAGAAAGCTCTGATTACAGCCCCTCTGCAGAGACTAGTTTATTATAATAAGCATTTTATTATGTAATGTTTTGTGTTGTAAGAGGTAAACGTTGAATTAATATTGATAATTATGATTTCTTGCAGTGAGGACAGCGTTTAATGGTTGCACTGATGGTTATATTATAAATTTCAACAGTTCCAGAATGTTTATGCCATTTTTTTCAAATTCAATACAATATATTTAAATCATTATGGCTTTTATGTTTTTATGTCTTATGTAAAACAGGACATGATAATGTGTAATAGTAGATGGTTTTTCTCCAAAAATGAATGTTGTAAAACTTAAAAAATGCACTCTCCCTGCTGTCTGAAACATTTATTAAGGATTAATTATACATTTATTAATGAGACATGGGCTATTTAGACATTCTAAATAGATATGTAGTTTAAAATTTGGCAAAGACACTTACTATGAGGGAATTCTTGGTCTGGGTCAAAATTGACCCGGACCATGTGAAGGCATTAAATATGAACAGTATGTTAGGGTTAAATAGAGCTTAATCATATTTTTATGACTTAAATCCTCAAGTAGTAAATCACTGAATAAATGATAAAACATGTTTGTATGATAACAAGGCAAGTTTATTTCTATAGCACATTTCAACAACAAGGCAATTCAAAGTGCTTCACATAAAACCATTAAAAGCATCAAAACATAAGGCAAAAGAAAAGGAGATGTAAAATCAATTAAGAACATTCATTGAAACATTAAAAACAGTCATTAAAACACTAAAAAGCAGTGTAAGAAATAGAATACAGTAGTAAAATGCTGAAAGTAAAATTGATTAATATCCATGAATCTGGTTCACTTAAAGGCAGCAGCAAACAGAAAAGTCTTCAATCTTGATTTAAAGGAGCTGAGGGTCTCAGCAGACCTGCAGCTTTCTGGGACTTTGTTCCAGATATGTGGAGCAGAAAAACTCAACGCTGCTTCTCCATGTTTAGTTCTGACTCTGGGAACAGAAAGTAGACCGGTCCCAGACAACCTGAGGGGTCGGGATGGTTCATAAGGTAGCAGCAGATCAGAGATGTAGTTTGGCCCTAAACCATTCAGTGCTTTGTAAACCAACAGCAGGATTTTAAAGTCAATTCTTTGTTGGACAGGAAGCCAGTGCAAAGACCTCAGAACTGGAGGGATGTGATCCACTTTCTTGGTCTGGTCTTAAAAATGCTTTTTGATATTGGTGATTCCTCCTTAATAACATTTAGAGGCATTTTTATAAAGTTGCAGCTTAATATTTTGTTTCCCAGCTTTACAATGTGGCTTGTCCGCAATATGTCCTTTTTAAAACCTTTTTTAAAATGTGTTCTCTGAACAAACAATTTTTTTTTTATGATTAAGACGACATGAAGGTTTAACATTACTCACTTGTACTAAAATACATACTAAAAAAATAGCATAAGGAAAGGCTGTGTCAACAAGAGAGCATAGTGGCCACTTGCACGGAAACAAATCAGTCATCAAATGGGGAATGTTTGTTTGTGTGTGTGTGTGTGTGTGTGTGTGATTACTTCCTAATGACTTTGGATGCCACAGAGTAAATGACGCAGCTAGCCAGAGTACTAACAATTATCTACAACATACTGAAACAATTAACGAAACCTTTCCTCTCGATCTTTGTTTCATTTTCAACATAGCTGCTGCTTTGACGGTCTGTATCCTTTCTGAAAAGTTATTCCTGGAAATGACAGCATGTTACTTTGTTTGCACCGTGCATAATACCACCCACAGGCTTTAATCCTTTATTGCTACTTTCATAATCGAACGACAAGTGTTGTGTCTTGTGGCGCAACCAGTCGCTTTTTCCATCTCTGTCAGTTCCGTTTGTTTTCCAGACTGAAAATGAAATAAACTTGTGTTTTGATGACGCAAAGCTCATCGAGCTTGCATATCATTTGGCACAATGAAAACTCTCCACGGCCCAACAATTGCTTAAGTTACAATATCTATCCATCCATCCTCCGGCTTGTTTTATTTTGCCATACGGCAACGGTCTGCATTTGATTTCCATGTGTTGCTGTTTTCACTTTCACATTGATTCATGATCTACTTAGAATTGTTGTCGACCTTTTTCCTGTACCTCAAAGAAACATAATTATGGAGTCAAAAGAACCTGAACCCAGGTATTTGGTTAACCTTCAAAATATGCCAAACATTGTTTGTTAAAGTCGCAGTAAGTATTTGCTTAGCTGCCGGTTATCAGTCAAAACTATTTTGAAGATCGTAAACGGCTGTTTTTTTACTCTTAACTTCTATAACGTCACCTTTAGCATGCATGTCTCCAATGTGACGCTAACGACATTCATCCCCCTGAGCTGTCCTTTTTGTGTTTAGTGCTAATTAGAAAATGTTGCTAACACGCTAAACCAAGATGGCGGACATGGTAAACGTCATACCTGCTCATCATTAGCATGTTAGCATTGTCATTGTGGGCTAGTATGGTGATGTTAGCATTTAGTTCAAAGCAGTGCTGTGCCCTTTAGAGCCGCTAGCATGGCTGTTGACTCTTAGTCTTGTTGGGAAATGCTATACCCTTGTTGTTTTCTGGCAGTAATAAGCAAGGCCAGCATAAATACCTGTTATCTTCATAGAGATCATACCAATTTTCAATTTCTGGAGAAAGACCCGCGGGTCCAAAAATCCCAGCTCTAAGTTGAAGACGGCTAATTGGTTGTAATTTCCCCGTCTCTCCTTCAAGATTTGGACATCTTTGGCATCATTCTGTACTCTGTGCTCACCTTCATGGCCGCAGTGTCCATGCTGGTCTTCCTAGAGGAGTGTGTCTACATCTTTAAGAAAGTGCCCACCAATAAGAAGAGTGTCATCATCTGGGTGAATGGGACGGCACCGGTAAGAATAACACTGTGAAAAACCTTTGGCTTGTGTTGGTCGAATATACTGAATCTTCACATGGCGTTTTTCTCTCTTTCAGGTGATTGGCACCATGTCGTGTCTGGGGATGTGGATCCCCAGAGCCACCATGTTTACTGATATGACCTCTGCTTGGTAGGTCCCTCTTTCTCTGCTTCTCTTAGATTCACCATCTCTCAGAGTGCTGTGTGTTTTGTTTTTTTACCCACGGAGCCCTGCAGTAAAAAATCAGATGGGGAAACTTGAACCTACTGAGAGTTTTATAGAAAACAGTCCGACTGCTGTGCAATGTGTGTGGATTTTACGGCTTTTTACTTTTTTCCTACTTCACCATATGATCCTGCCTCTCCAAATGTCCGTTCTTCATATTTCTCTCATTGTTCCTGCGTCTTTCATTCCAAGTGCCTCATTCCTTAATTTACTTTTACCAATCACTCTTATCTCTCTGTAGCTACTTTGCCATTGTGGTGTTCAAATTCCTGATCCTGATGTTGGAGGAGGTGGGTGGTGATGAGGCCTTCCTGAAGCGAGGAGCGAGACATCGCCTTAAGATCAGCACGGGGCCGTGCTGCTGCTGCTGCCTCTGCCTGCCGCACGTGGCCATCACAAGGTAAACTGCAGCAATACACAGTCTGTGGTTATCAAAAAATCAATACAACATTTCTGCCTTTTCAGTGCTGAAATAAACACTGCTAGTTTCTACCAACTCCCAGAGTGTGAACAGCTTCCGAGAAACACTTCTGAACCCTGTCTTTTAGTTTGTTGGTCAGCTCCCAAAGTAGCACATGTGGATTTAGTAAATCTCCTCCCACTGTCCTCAGCAGAAGAGGCCTTAGGAGGCTTGGTACCAATTGTGCATTCAGTAGTGTAATCATCAAACGGGTGTATCTTCTTTGCTACTCAACAAAACAGATCTAATTTCCGTTCGTGTTTTCTGTTTTGATTTGAATGAAAATCAAGCAGCATAAAAGAAGATGATTAAATGATTTCTTGCACCTCAGCTGTTCTTAGCAAGTGTAGAGCGGGAAATGCGCTTATTTGCTTTATTGCTGGGAGTCGCATAAGACGACACCACTCTCACGTGTCCATAAGACTACAGCCAGCAGCCGATTAGCTTAGCTCAGCACAAAGAGCGAAACAAGGGGACACAGCGAGACTGGCTCTGTCCAAAGGTGAACTGTTTCCACCCCCGGGTTTTTGTATAGATTAAACTAGCGAGATGTAACCAGGTTAGAGATGCTGGCAGTTGGATTTTGTTACCTTTGGACACGGGTAAGGGCTAGCTGTGTGCCCCTGCTTCCAGTCTTTATGCTATGCTAATCTAACAAGCAGCTACATATTTTCTACAGACATGACAGTTGTGTCAACCTTCTCACTGAGCTGTGTGCAAGAAATGGTAAAAGAAGTGTACTTCTTAAAACGTCAAACTATTTCTGTTTGAATTTTTCTAAAAGCTGCAGTGAAGCAGAAAGAGAAAATGCCTCTTTCTGAGAGTGCTGTGGTCCCATGTTCTTCCTATTTGAAGCACTGTTGCTTTAAAAATTCCAGTTGATTGCAACCTATACATTAGGTTCTAAGAAATACGGTTATCCTTTTAAAGGGAATTTGGAGAACCCTAGGAAGTGCCCAGAACAACAAAGTGCAAAGTTGGCACAAATCTCATAAACCAGAATTTCATTTTAATATGAGTAATCTCGATATTGAGGTGATGATTAAAGCATCCTGCAGTGCTAATGAAGCACAGATCCTATGCAGCTCCTAAAATGGTAACAACCATGTGTTGCTTGAGGGGACAGACTAATGAACTCTGCCGTTGTTTTTCACCTGTTTGAAGATTGCATAAACTCAGCAATCCTCTGTACATACAGTATTAGATGTGTGCCGGTGCAGGTTGAACACACTCCTGACCATTCAACTCTTTAAAGGCCCAGTGTGTCTCTGTACACAGCAATCCCAGCATGCCCCATTGTTACTGAGTAAACACAGGCTACATTTACACTGTGTGTCACAGTTAATTCATCAAGTTAGCATGAAGTCAGCGGTCATGACCTTTTATTTTCATATGGTATTTGTTGTGACCGTAGCAGGTACAGTCTGTTTAGGCTTTGTGCAATTCTCACCAAAATATCAGATGTCAAACAGATGTGCTTATTTCTATGGCTACGCACAGCTTAAGATGCGTTCACTCTTTGCAACTACACAGAGGGCCCTTTTAGGTAAGCCCATTCTGCTGTGCACAACGATGATGATGATGATAATGATCATCAAGCCAAGACATGCTCAGACATTTTTCTTTAGAGCAATGCCCAGTTTCTCATCAAATGCATCACAGAGGGACTATTCATGTTGTTGTTGCACATTCAAACATGGGCATGTCGAAAGGTGTGCCCAAGGCCTCTCTGAATTGTTCAGAAATTCCTGTGCTAATTATCCAGGATGGGTTCAATGGAGAATTCCACAATGACCTTTTAAGAGTTTTTAAAATGCGTTTAGAGATTAAAATTATTTACTGTTAGCAGCGGCTATTCTCAAAGAGTTTCCTCTTTTCCAATCTCCAGGCGCTCTCTCTTCCTGCTCAAACTTGGCTCCTTTCAGTTTGCCATCCTGAAGATTGTCTTCACCATCCTTTCCATTGTCCTCTGGACCAACGGAACATTTAACCTGGCTGATGTGAGTTACTCACGTGGAAAAAAACTGTACTATTTATTTTCCATGCTATTTGCTATTAGTCATATAGCCAAGATTCCCAGTGTTTGCTGAGGTTTGCTCGTCAATACCTATCGTATTATGTGGGCAAAAGCAAAGATGTTGAGATTTAAACATCATTATCAGTCTATGAGTCACTGTCGTTTTGTCTCTCTAACACTTTAGCATGAAGGCGCTTGATTAACATTCTCTTTGTGCCACACTTACTAGCTTGTAAATAGACATGATATATATATCTATATACTGTGTGTGTGTGTATGTATGTATGTATGTGTGTGTGTGTGTGTGTGTGTGTGTGTGTGTGTGTGTGTGTGTGTGTGTGTGTGTGTGTGTGTGTGTGTGTGTTAGGTCAGGCAGCAACATACAGATGTTTGCTTCTGACAGCAGGCCTCATATTTATATGCGACTATAAATGCGTGGACCTAAAAGGCCCTTTTCTATGTAACATTTCTGGCATATGAATTAACGCAAGAACTAACTGATGACCCAATAAGTGTTTACTAATCACGTCACGTAGTGACTGATCATTTCTTAGTAGTGCGCATCAGAAATTGCTGATACATTCTGGATGAATCATTATGACTCTATGCATTACTTAAGGGTGTGTTTTGTTCACCTATTATGAAGTATTCAATATTTTGCCACAAAAGATTCTTTGTTGACTTTGCTAACTTCCTGACTCTCGTGTGTGTGTGTGTGTGTGTGTGTGTGTGTGTGTGTGACCATGTTTCAGTTGACCATTAAAGGAGCTGCTATATGGATCAACCCATTTGTGGGCATCTTGACAATCACAGCCCTGTGGCCTGTCGCGATCACGTTCATGCACCTGAGGACTGCCCTGCGAACACTCAAGATCATCCCCAAGTACGCCATGTACCAGGTAAGGCACAAGAGACGCTTTAAACACACATGTGCTGCACACTACTGTGCACACAACGAGCTGTTTACACACCTCATCTTGGACAATAACTAGCGCCGCTCATATATATTGCTGGCTGTAAGTAAACATTTCTAATAACGTGTCAAGTTATAGGGCCGTCAGATTTTCCAGCATTCCGTTTGTCAGGTTAAACAGTGGACATGTGTGTTTTTTGTAGCTTGTGCTGATCCTGAGTCAGCTGCAAACGGCTATCATCAACATCTTGGCTCTGAATGGAATCATCGCCTGTGCTCCGCCCTTCGCCTCCGTACCCAGAGGATACAGTGAGTCAACATCCATCCATACAATCCATTCATCCTTGTGGTTTATGTGTTCCATCAACAGTTAGTCAATCCATCCAGGAATGACTCCTTGAACTTTCCTTTGACTCGCAGCTGACCTTCGTTTGCCTATTCTCTCTTCACCTCTCTGTCTCCGCAGTGTTGAGTCAGCAGCTTTTGATCCTGGAGATGTTCATCATCACGCTGGTGACACGCCTGCTGTACCGCCGACAGTATGAGCCTTTACCCGAAGAGGAACCGGAAATCGACATAAACTCCAAGATGGTTACAATGACGGCGTCCGCATGAGAAGTGTGTGTGTGTGTGTATGTGTGTGCGCGTGCGTATGTGTGTGTAATTTCTATTTCCTGCATATATTTGATTAAATATTTTTTAAGTCGATGTGAATAAATGAAATTATGAGATTTACCTAAATGTGTCTTGTGGGTGTAACAGAGGTTCAAACTGTTTGATTGAACAGTCACACCAGTCACACACCTTATCAAGCAGTTATCATTGTTCCCACTTTGTCATGTAAAATTCCATTTTGCCTAAAAAGAGCCTATATAGATATAGATGCATACATTAGGTTAGTGTTCAGTTATTTCAGTTATTATTCTGTAAAGAATTTGCTCAGTTCAAACTAAACAGTGTTATTGTTAATTTATTACTAGAAATTATATTTTCCATCTATGTTGAATTCTATGTCTGCTGGTAGACAAATTTGACATCTTCAGCCTTTTTCAGCATTCTCATCTCCAGATATTAATTACCAATTGCAGTACCAAATTACTTTTCTGTGAACTCAAAGGATATGAAATAAAATGCACCGGCATGACTGTCAAGTCCTTCAGTTATCACGTCCAGCTGACCCTTCATGCTAAATGTCTTCAACCATGTGCCGCTAGATGGCGGTATTAATCATCACCTGCCCCTTCGTATTGGCACTTTGTCATGTCAGCTACCTGTTAGTCTTCCCACAGTCCTTTGAGACATTTAGCAGGGCATACGTACACCACATATTAATGTATAGTGTGTATAGTGGGTGCATATAACCAAGGTAATAACGATTTTGATTGAAACGCCCCCGTCCAATTGGGTTGCAGCTGTTTCTCACTTCCCAGTTTTAAGCCAATCCCCGACGTGCATCAACGAGCCTGGCGAATGTGCGGTTGAGTCTAGACTTTCGAATGTACGTGCTGTCCAACACGTCAAGACGTTTCAAATAGTCCGGATGTCTTAATATTGGTCCTTCAGAATAAAATGTTTTCCAGCTGTACAGAAAGTCTCGTCGGCAGATTGTAGACCAGTCAGTCGTTTGAGAGAAACCGGACCTTTCCGAGTTAATCAAAGGTTTCTCGCAATAAGCCATTGGCAAAAAAAAGCAAGTCATTAATAAAGGGTTTTTATAATAATCCCTGAAGTCTGCAGTTGTAAATGTTAATAAGTTAGTTAGGTTAAGACATGTTATGCTCTGCATAGAGGCAAAAAACAAAGCAAGTGTATTATGTATTGATGTGCTATATCGTTGTTTCTATATCAAGAAATGATCTATTACTTACAAACAATATTATTGCAATAAAGATATTAACATAACCCCACTTTATTATGCATAAAAGCATACAAAAAGAAATAAAGTGGAAAGTGTTTGGAGATTAACCAGCAAGAGACATTTTCAAAACATGGTAACGCAACCATTTTTCTTATAAAGGGATTATAATATATACATATCCTTTCTTTATCATGATTTATAAAGCCGTTATAAACAATCTATGAATGGTGCCTTCTTAAAAATGTTTACCAAACTTTCTATTTAGTGCTTCTTATCAGTTACCCCAAAGCCACCCGATACCTAGATACCTTTGACAGAATGTTTTATTTTGAAGAAAGAAAAACGTAACCGGAAATCAGCATTTGATTCTAACTAACTTGACAGTGTTGCGCTGATCTCCGTACACAACAATGTAGATCCAGGTAGCCCTCATGACATCACACTGCTTGTTTCCTATCTTGTTCCCTTATGGACGTTTATTCATCACTTCGTCTCGCGCCCTCCGGAGTCTCGCGGACTGGGACCCATGTGGACGCCGATGAGACAGGAAGACTGCCAACACTACCGGGGATGAAATGGTCGTGTTCGTTCTGAATCTCATTCTCTCGGTTACATCCAGGCGTCGTCATTGAACTTTTTATTTTAATTTTTTAAAAATGAGGATCTTCGTGTCTCTGCTGAAAAACGCGACTCCCAAAATCGAGTATTACTCCAGATTTTCCCCGTCCCCGCTCTCCATTAAGCAGTTTTTGGATTTCGGTGAGTATAGCGACGCAGCACAGGGCTGTCATCTTGAAGGGAATGCATGACTTGCTGATCGTGAATCCGAGGCCTTACGTTGTAATATTGTATTCCCTATTTGTCCACATTCTCAGTGACACGGGCAATCTCTTACTTGTTATTAATAGCGGAGCTCTTCTACAAGCTGCCATGAAACACAATATTTTGGTATGATCACGTGTGGCATCTGAATTGTGTAACAGCTCCAACGGTACGTTTCTATGCATGCTGGTGTCTCTGCATGGCATCTTTCCGTTGCAGATTTGTTTACTATGTGGACATGTGACACACTGATTAATCCACGCAGGTGTTTACACGCAGACTGTGACAACAACATGTAGCCCACACAGTGGAGGGTGAACACCCCAGTTTTGAATTGCTTTGCCCCTGTTTTACTTTCAGCTTGAAGGATCTGATTCCAGAGCATGAATCACTAGTATTTCACAAATTAAAAGTTACATTTCTTCTTTCTCTCTGGATGTGGAGTCAATAACTGTGCAAGGCACCGACATCACACTTGCAATTCAAGATGACAATGTCGGTAGCCACACTTAAGGCTTAGTTTTCTTAATCCATCTCTGATTAAACAGTCTTCTCTGTTATGCAATATGTTCCCACAGTTGTGGATTGGATGTGCAAGTACAGGAAAGCGTGTGTCACTTGTTTCGCCTTAAGAAACAGTAATTGTTAATGTCTGAAGAGCAGTGGGGGCAAAGGATAGAGGTGTGTTTCAGAAGGGGAACAGATGAGACCTCGTCTACGGGTAGTCGGCAGCGTGCAGAGGTTGTGTCATGCAGGGCTGAGTCAGTATTTGGTGGTGTCACTACCCTATTTTATAGTTTAGGAACACTTCCCCTTATACTGCTGAATCAGGGGGAAGCTGTTGCTTTCAGCAGAGGTGATTAGACATTTCCTTTCATTCTGCAAGATCATCGTGTTTCCCCCCAAAGACACCAAAATATAATATGTTACTGTCTCCTCTCTTGAGGTCACTCACAGAGCAACAGAATATCTGCACAACTGGCTTCCTGCAAAGTCTGGCTGAGAACGTTTCTTTGCGTTGTTTTGTAAGACTTTACCGCTGAGCCCTTTTTCAACAGCTGGAAGAACCTGAAAGCATTTTTCTAAACACGATCTAAAACATAAATTCCCCTAAATACCTTTCCATGACTCCCCCCCCTCATAACAATCATAACAAGATTTATGATTTCCTAGAATGGTTCAAGCTAATGTTGGTGGTCAGTAAATGCGGCTCCAGCCAGGGATGGGAGCAGAGTTTAAGGTATCATATTAAAGGTTGAAAATTGAAACTGACTACAGCTCTCAACCACATACTTAAGTAACAGCTGTGTTCACTGGTACGTAGAAGCAAAACAAACTAAATCTTGATTATGTTTCTTGGCAGTTAAAGTTCATTTTCACAACTGGAACTGTACCAGACTTTGCAGATATTCCAGTCCTTTTCTTTTTTTTTTTTTTTTTTTTTTTTTTTTTTTTTTTTTTAAATGGTGTAGCTTTGACAAACACCAATCTCTTTCTTTTTTTTTTTCAGGCAGGAACAATGCTTGTGAAAAAACGTCCTACATGTTCCTGCGTAAGGAGCTGCCGGTGCGGCTGGCCAACACCATGAGAGAGGTCAACCTGCTGCCTGATAAACTGCTGAGCCAGCCCTCCGTCAGACTGGTGCAGAAATGGTGAGACATTTCGACACCGCTCGAGAGATACGCTTTACAACGCGTCCGGACGATAAGGTTTATAGTACAGTAGAATAACCGTTAATGAGTCTCCCTCTGACCTCTTGTTTGCTTTATTAGGTACATGCAGAGCTTTGTGGAGCTGCTGGATTATGAGAACAGGAAACCAGAGGACTGCCAAGCTTTGAATGAGTGAGACGATATTGACTTGACTAACAATTCATAAATGCAAGTACAGCTTTGTCATCCACCCAGCTGTTGCATGCTGGCTTCATGTCTTGAGTCCGCTGCGGCTGATCCCCCGTAGCACACGGTGTGCGTGTGCACTGTAAGCATGCCAGTGAGATAGAGCTATCACACATGACTGAGAGACACCAACAGGAATGTGAATAAGTCGGTTTAGAGAACAATAGTGTTGAACTCGAATCGTTTGGTTCAATAGAAATAAAAAAAACATGATGTTCAGCTGATACTCGTCCTGACTGAACATGTTTCTGGCTGACAAAAACGTTTTAAAAAAAAATTATACAAGACTGTTAAACCATTTCTTTTGTTATTTTTGAATGATATAAATGTGTGTGTGAGATTTACTAATGAACATCCTCATGGATGAGTGCTTTCATAATTTGGATTTATACTCCCCCCTCATTGCATTTATTCATTTCGTTTTTTAGCTTCCTGGAGTTGTTGATTGAGATCCGTAACCGTCACAACAACGTGGTTCCCACCATGGCTCAGGGAGTCATCGAGTACAAGGAGAAGTTCGGCTTTGACCCCTCCATCAGCAGCAACGTGCAGTACTTCCTCGACCGCTTCTACACCAACCGCATCTCCTTCCGCATGCTCATCAACCAGCACAGTGAGCCTCAAAACCACCGACATGGTTTACTTGGATCGCAAGCACACCACTGCCCCGTCCTGGGTAGCGCGTTAGTTATTGTGACCGACCTGTTTCTGTTTCTGTGCAGCTCTCCTGTTTGGCAACGACACCAACCCTGCCCTCCCAAAGCACATAGGCAGTATTGATCCCGCCTGCAGTGTGGCTGAAGTCGTCAGTGGTGAGTTTAAAATCAACAATTACAAGAGCACTGTACTCTATACTCTGTTGGAATACTTTGTTATCTATGGGTTTACATTTCTGGCTTCATTGAAATTAACCTGCATGGTGCTTATTATGGGAAACACAGTTTTATCACCAGTGACACAAATCAATGCAAGTTCATCTGCACGTAAACGGCATGTTTACATAATAATAGTTTATAAAAGAGTTCCAGCAGCCCGGACCCCGACGCTGCACTTTCAGTGACCCGGCCGAGGCTACATTAGTGACCTGTGACAGGAATCCAACCGTAAACGGTGAAAGTTCTCCGCTTGTTCGGCCCCTGACTTCGTTGTTTCACCTCTTCTATCAGATGCCTACGACACAGCCAAGATGCTGTGCGAGAAGTACTACTTGGCTGCTCCCGAGCTGAAGATTGAGGAGTTCAACAGTAAGAGATTTTGTATTTAATGCTTTGTGATTTCCACCGTTTCTCTCTGTAATCTGTCCCACAGCTGTAGCCGAGCAATGTGGAGTCCCAATTTAGTGCCGTTGTGGTCACATTCACCATCTTATTTACTTCAAAATAACTAGCTTTTCATTCTTGTCTTCCAGTGAAGGCCCCCGAAAAGCCCATCCAGGCGGTGTATGTGCCCTCTCATCTGTTTCACATGCTGTTTGAACTCTTCAAGGTGAGCGGTGCAGCATCAGTGGCAGAAACCTAGCTATAGTGCTCTTTTAATGTAATTAAATTGCAACCTGACTACAATTGCATCAGGACTTGTGCTGAGCTAAGTTAATTAACTCTGTGGGTGTTTGCAGAACTCAATGAGAGCCACAGTGGAGCTCCATGAGAACAGTGAAGAGGGATTACCGCCAGTCAAGGCAAAGGTCACTCTGGGCAAAGAGGATCTTTCCATAAAGGTAAATCAAGACACAAGTGCACAGTTAGACAAATACTCGTGGGCCTCTCGCTCCATCTCTCCCATGTTCCGTCTTCAGATCAGTGACAGAGGAGGAGGAGTTCCTCTGAGGAAGATCGACCGTCTGTTTAACTACACGTACTCCACTGCTCCTACACCCAGCCTGGAGCCGGGAGTTGTCCCATTGGTACACACACACACACACACATACACATAAAATCAAATCAGTGTTGACCATGGTGACCATTTCCAACCATTTTTACCCCATATATTTTTATTTATGTCTTGACAGCTGGGAAATTAACTTCTGTCACTCTCCCTCCCCATCCAGGCTGGTTTTGGCTACGGTTTGCCAATTTCTAGGCTCTATGCCCGATACTTCCAGGGGGACCTGAAACTTTACTCCATGGATGGCGTTGGCACTGATGCTGTAATCTATCTGAAGGTAAAGTCAGCTGGTCAAATGTTTTTCTTTTTCCCAAAGACAGATAGGTCGGAGTTTAAAGGGACATTCGATCCAAAATCTAAAATACATATTTTTGCTCTTACCCATAGTGCTATCTATCAGCCTAGATTGTTGTGGTACAAGTTGCAGAGTGTTGGAGGTATCGGGCGTAGAGGTGTCTGCCTTGTCTCAGGTATAATAGGACTAAATGTCACTCGGCTTGAGGTGCTCAAAGCGCCAAAAACATTAATTTGGAAAACTCAACAGCACTGTCTCCTTCCAGAAATCATAAACCGGGTTACTCAACATAATACAAAGACCTTTTTGTGAGCAGTTTCATATCGGAACTATTTTCTTTCTACACCCGCCAACCGTATCACCGCGCAGAAAGAAGCGTGCATCTATACTCGATACAGCTAGCTCACCCGGCGCTTCTGAGCTAGCTGACGTTACAGCTCAGCCCGAGGGGGACGCCATTAAAGTTTGCATTTTGCAAGTACAAGCCTCTCGTCCATGAGTTAGATGCATGCTTCCTTCTGTGCACTGTTGAGCACCACAAAGCCGAGTGCCATCTAATTCTATTATACTCTAGAGAGAAGGCAGACATCTCTACGGCCGATACCTCCAACACTCGGCTAGATGCGAAGATTGTCACCACTCTCATCTGTCTGTTAAGAATGACGCTAGAGCTATAAGACGCTTAGCTTAGCATAAAGACTGCAGGCTAGGTGAAACAGCTAGCAAACATGACGTACCCGCACCTCTAAAGCTTATAACCTGACATGTTTTACCTCTTCTATTTAATCCGTACAATAATCCAAGCGTCGGTGTCAGCTAGCTGTTTCCCCTTGCTGCCAATATTTATGCTAAGCTAAGCTAATCGTCTCTGGTTCCAGGCTTATATTTAGCGTCTGCTCAAACATCCGACTCCTCCTTCAAAGTTAAATGACCGTGATTTCTCACTGTGTTGTGTTCCTCCATCTGAAGGCCCTTTCCAGCGAGTCCTTCGAGCGGCTGCCTGTCTTCAACAAGTCGGCGTGGCGGCATTATAAGACCACCCCCGAGGCCGACGACTGGAGCAACCCCAGCAAAGAGCCGCGCGATGCCAGCAAGTCCAAATACAAAGCCAACAGATAAACGCCACCTGACCCCGCTAACCCTGCCCTCTGCTGGCAGACCCAAATGCTCACACTCTGCCCTGGTGCATGTCAGATGAAAGGTTGCCCTTGGGTAAATGTTTGGTTTATGATCAGACTTGCCTTTAAATTGCGGTGGTTAAAGCTTTGGAAAAGATACATGACCTTGATGTATATCTGTATACCCAATGGCAATGGCATTCATCAGCGTAGCTTTCATTTTTGTGGCATTGACCACTGGCTCTCTCAAGATGAACCTCTTGTGAATCTTTCACTAATGTTGGCTCCATTTCCTCCTCTATCAGGCCGTTGCTATCAGCTAAATTCACCGTATCTCCTTCACCTCTCCCTCTGTCTCATGCGCAGTTTGGCCCGGCTCCTCTTTGCTGACGAGGCCGCTGCTCCCTGTGGCTGGATAAGCCTCACACTGCTGATCGAGTGTCTTTCTCACCATCAGTGAAGGCTTGTATTCCGTTTCTCCCTCTCGGAACACAAGCAGGGTCATGGGGTTTGAGTTTCAGAGCGTATTGGAAAGAGTAGGAGGTTTCATTTCCTTCCTTTTGGAAGACACTTTTGACAGAACGCACAATTAGGCCAGTGTGTCATTGGCATAGTAAAGAGCTGTTCTGTGTTGAAGCCAGGACAGGATTGCTTATAGATTAGAGAAAATGATAACTCTTTTGGGAAAAATATAGAAAGCAATGCATCATTTTAAGTATCTCGACATCGAGAAGTTTTTTTTTTTTTAATTGTTTTTTTAAGAGAGAAAGCCTTATTTCTAGAATATTTAAGAAAATCTGCCTTGAAGGCTGAACTGGATGTTTATTTATAATAGGAGAATGTAAGAGAAAAAATGGGTATTTTTTAAAAAAAATAAATGTTTCCACTTTACTCAAAGAAGACAATACTGACCCTCATCAGACATTCCTGCTTGCAAAGCCGGCTCTGCACCCTGATTTAACAACTACTAAAGGACCCAAGGAGCATCTTTAGGATGCTTATAAAATGCCTGGCACCTTCAACCACACCAGCATGAAGCATTGTGTGAAACCCTCACAGAGAAGGATGGACCTGTCGCATCTGACGAGGATTATAAAAGTGTGAATACGTCATCGCATCTCCTTTCTACACTGGCAAACATTTTGCCATGGTGGACACGCAACATAAGCTCAAAGCTCGGACTTGCTACCCTAACAGTGCTTCATCCATTCAACTTGGTGTCTCAGTTGTAGTGTTACTAATCCATACTGTCTTCTGAATGAGTTTGAACAAAGCTTGTGTATTTTAAAATGGTTGCTTTTTGTATTCATCGCCATGAGTGGAAGTGAACGAATTGGAAGATAAATCCAGAGGGAATTGATTCCTGACAGGTTTTAACTTATTTTATCCTGGATAACAGCTTTTCTCTAAAAGTTTGGGAACAGTTCACCGCATTTCCTTTTTGTAAACAAAAGGAAATCAAGCGTTGTTGGGAAAAGCCAACTGGGGAAATTGCATGTGGCCAAAGGAGCCGCTAATCTCTTGGTAAACCATCCAAATATTCGGGAACATTTTAGTGCACTTACTACTACTAAACCTTCACAGAGATATATCTCATTCAATTCCCTTCATTCCAATCATTTCAGACCTCTTATCAAGAATCTTCTTTTGCAAATAGAAGAAATGAAACACGGCCCAAAACCATTTTGTCAAGAATTTGAATAATCTGAAGTGACTTCCTTCTCTCGTCTCCTTTAGTGCCATCTGATGTGCAAAGAAAGAAGTGTAGATGAAGAACACAGTATGGAAAGCGCCCCCCATCCTGTAGCGTTTCCCCCGCCTTTCAGCCTCACTGAAAGGTTTCACCACTGCCAAAGCCTTCGTAACCTGCCAAGTCTCACTGCGTGATGCTCAAAGTTCACACCTTCGTGAAAGCTTCAATTCCAGTTGTGTGATTTAGAGTACTCAACCTTTACTGTTAAAGACTGTCTTCTGTTCCTCTGGTATATTAGAAAATATCACGTATACAACTGTTGATGATGTGTTTGCTGTACATGAAGCCAGTGTGGAGCGATCGCTCTGTTTTTCTATCCTACTGTACCTCCAGCTTAAACAGACGTATGCTCGCTGCGGAGGTGGGTCACACGAAGATATGCAATTAATGCGACATCCAAAAAAAAGGTGACGGGGCAGTTTAGTTAATGTGATTCAGCATGAGCTCAACTTGTCAAACCCGACAATAAAGAAAACTGCTTTTGTGTGCGAAATGCAGTTTGACTCGCATTCAGTTTTAGATTTTTTGATTTATTTACATATCAAGCCGTTTGAACATTGAAATTTAAAAAATAAAAAAAGACACACTTTCCCAAAGTTTGTACATATAGTGCAGATTAACATGTAGTGCGTACAGGACATTTAGGTCTCTACATTGCATTAGGGTATTAATTGTATTGTTGGGGTGGAAGAGAGGTCTGCGCCGGCCTGGCATGAGTGAGCAGACCTGAGCAAAAAAGAAAAGTTCTAACATTACATTTCCAATAATATCAAATAAAACATTAGGCTGATGATCCGGCTTTTGAGGAGCTGACAGTTCACCTGGAGGGCTTCAATTATTGTTTATTTCAAGTATCATCCGAGTCCTATAGAGAAAGGCTGCATCTCCAAGTTTTCTGGGTTTGATTGACAGCTGACATCAAATTCCAAAGAGCAAGAATGTCTGCTAAAGGTCGATAGACAAAACATGGCAAACTGTCAAAAAAATGCATGGCTTTATTAACGCTGAAAATCCACAAATGCTTCTACCTATGGATTAGACGGTGATGTTTGTGTGGCCTACTGAATGACTGCGACGATGAAGGATTTGTGTGTGTTGTATCGCACGATGTGACTAGAACTCAGAGTGGTTACATTGACTCTCTACTGTAGGTGTGGTCTCAAAAGACTCACTTTACATTCAAGAAGCTAATAAAAGGCTGTTTTTTTTTTTCTGTCATTACAATCAATAGGCGCAGTCCAAGACTCGAGTCTAAAGGGGCTTGTTTTAGTGTCTAATTCTATCACAGACCTTGTTTCCGTATTCATTTAAAAATGTATTTTTTTCATATGAACTTTACAACTAGGATTATATTGCTTGATTTCAAACAAAGCTGTACAACCGAGGTGATTCATTTGTCTTTCACTGGAGCTGTTTTGGATGCGTTTCAGGATCATGCAGGCTGCTATTCCCACAGGCTCATTTTCATTCCTTATGATTTTCTGAGGGATTAGTTTTAAACTGTGGTAGTGGTCACAACAGTAGCGTGGGAACAAGTGACTCAACGATTGTGGATCACTTATTTAATATAAGTTGCCAACCATTTATACTAAAATGTGCCGACACTTCACTTCTGCTAATCTACGGTGTGCAGTGTCTTTTCTTTAATTCACAGTGCTCCGTTCAACAAGCACTCAATTACTCAGTGTAGGAATGAATCCAGTTCCTGTCAATTCACATGAGCTGTTGAGCTGAACATCACACACACAATGTTCTGTAACTTTGTGCCTATTCACATCTGGTGGTCACAGAAGTTACACGAAATCTTTGCATCTTAAAAAAAAAAAAGCTAAAGTAGACAGAAAAAGGACAAAAAACAATGAGGTGATATTATGATCAGGCTGTTGGACAGTCTCTATATCAGCACTGGACAAATCCAAAGCAAATCCTCTGAAAGATGCTGCAAAGCATTCTGGACCTTCTTACGATATGCGTAAGAAGGTTCGTAAATCCTCTTCTTCCCTTGTCTTTCGTCTGTCTGCTTTGGTTGCCCACACAGCTGAGACAGTGATGGCTTCTTAGCTCCGCAGCATAGAACTTCATTTCCCATGATCCTCGTCTGCCTTGCATTTTAGCAACTCCCTTAAGGATAACCGTTTCAGTATCCAGCCGGTGTTTTGTGTTGTGTTTGTGTGTGAGCAGTTCTCAGGCAGTGTACTGTGAGTGAAGTGTGTGTGTGTGTGTGTGTGTGTGTGTGTGTGTATATATACCTGTGTGTGTGTGTTCAACAATCCGTTTACTTCTCATCTTCATCACCTTCACTCATGCTGCTTAGAGAGGCCGATGCTCCTTTGGGGGAGGTTGGGGGCGAGGGCCGTGCATTGTGCCAGCGGGCGGGGGGAGACGGGGGTGAGGGAGAGCGCAGGGGGGACAGTTCTCGGGGAGGACTGTTGCAGGGCGACTCTCGGGGGGACAGAGCGTAGGACAGCATTCGTCCACTGCGCTCCTGAAACACCTGTTTCTGTTCAGGGACGCCGGGGAGAAAGAGAGTGAACGTTAGCGCGCACGCGGCACAAAGGTCCAAGCATCAAAGGCCTGTTTTTAATAGCACATGCTATCTGATCAATATGACAATAAGTAATCCAGTGACGATGAAGACAGCGATTATAATGACGGTTATATAAAGTGTTACTTACCCAAGTCCCATCAGGTCCAAAAAGTTCTAGGAAGTTGCCTATAAACTCTCTGGATTTCTCTTCCCACTTCTGAATGAGGTCGTGGCTCTTCTCCTCCACGCGGTAAACAAAGTGTTTGCTCTTCTCCTCGACCGTGCGAACCTTCTCCTTCATTCGGTCCACTTGGTTCTGCAGCCGGTACTTCTTCTCCTGAGGGGATTCAATGTTGAGGAAAAGCCAATTAAGCTCAGTGTTACAAGTGAGCACATCCACACATACAGAGGGATGTCTTCCATTGTAACAATGGTGGTGACCTGTAGAATCATGCTCTTACGTTGATGTAGCTGACGTTGAGCTCCTTGGCCGTGTAGCCACGTTGGAGGTTGCGCCGTGCGTAGACGTCATAGTCTCTGACAATTCTGGTGATCAATTCAGAAGTCGAGATTCCTTCTGTCCGTTGTGTGGGCACAAACATCCCTGGAAGACCACGCGCAGAAACAACACACAGAATTTGAAAACTGCCCGATATGTATTTGTATTTATCATCCTGTCATCACACACTGACCTGCCTCCTTGATGTGTTTATAAACGTCTTCACTCCCTGCTGAGGAGTAGGGGATGTCATCGTGAGCCACAAAATCGATCTGAGGAACATAAACATACAGTTGTACAGTTTTGCAAAATATACATATTTAAAGTAGTGTCCCATCTTAGGGGTTCTCGTATAAGGCTCTAAAAGAGCGTCCTCTTAAGAGCTTTTCTCAAAGAACAGAGTGCAACTTTTAAGGTATATACTTCTATATTTAGCCGATATGTTGATGGCTATGAAATCCGCTTTATGTATTTATCATTTTGGGTTTGAATAATTCTCACACACAAGTGAGATATTTTATCTGCACACCGAAAACTCCTTTGTTCCAGTGTCCAAGTAGCGGACAGTTGTGCAAACTTTCATCCCCCAGTGTTGTTTTGAGTTGTTGATGAGCTGATTGATTCTTAATAACTCGCCTTCCTCTAAAATATGCTTTAAACGTTTATCATTGTTGTATTATTTTCTAAAATAGTACATTACCTGCAGCCTCCGACTCATGGTAACCAGGTATTAGTGACTTCTGGACTGCCTATAACATCTCTAAAGCGCTAAAAGGTTTTGTAAATGACTCTGGGGAGTTCTAAAGTTAGAAATGACACGCCCCTTATTTTGCAGGTGTTCCTCCAAACTCAGCTAGGAGCTACTTGTGGCCTTAGGATGTGGTTACAGCCCCTGGATGTGCTTCATGCACAGTTTGACCCTCAGATACTGCAAACAACCACACAGACGCACCTTGTGTTTCTCCAGGAACTCCGGTGTCAGAGTCCAGGGTGCGTCTCTCAAAACCTCGTCGACATAGCGGCAGTGTCTCAACGCTTCGTAACGCTCAATCTCCGTCATGACTGTGAAACCCTTGTACTTATGGGTCAGCTCATCACTGCACACTGTTCCAAGCACATGGGAGGGAGAGCACACAAAACATCAGAAGCACGTTAGTTCCCAATCAGACAACTGTAGGTGTTATTTTGAGCAGTGGATTTTTAGTGTGTGTGTGAGTGTGTGTGTGTGTGGCCTACCTCCTACTATAAGGTAGGTGTTGGGAAAGAGGTTCTTGGCCTGCATGAGAGCGCGAGCGTGCCCAGAGTGGAACAGGTCAAAGATGCCATCTGCGTAGACTCTGACCGGCCGGTCCACTGTAAGCACACAGCAACACATATATCATCACCTACTGCAGCAGTATCAGTGAGAGGAGAGTGATGATGGTGACACTGTACCAATACCAACAGCAGTAGTAGTTGTAGTACAGTGTCATTTTAGAAAAAGTCGCAGTAACTTTAGCAACACTATAGTAAAATATATCAGTGGTAAGAGTAGTTTTTGTGATAGTGATACTAAAGGAGTAGCACCAGCAGTTGTAGCAGTAGTTGTTAGTAGGAGGAGCTTCAGAGGAAGTCGTTGACACAGTAGCAGAAGTAGTTAGTAACATAGTAACATTACAGTATGATAGTGTAAATGTAGCAGTAATAGTAATGGAAATGAATCAGAGTAGGAAGTGAGCCGGAGGAGGTCTACTGTACCTGGGGTGCCTCTGCGGGCCTGAGCGATGGTGAGCTTCTCATGAGGGGCGCGACAATCACAACTGGTCTCCCGGGCAAAGATGGCGGGCTTAGTCAGAGTCTGAGAAGGAGAGAAGGAGGAAGAGACTGGGTACAAATGTCTTATTTTGGAGAACGTAGGAGACTGAAGTTCATCTAAAACACCCCCATCCCTTCAAGTTCACGGTATCACTCTGTTTCCATGCTCATTCCTATTACAATAACCTCCATTAAGGTATTGACCTGCTCCACATTGGGACAATGGATCGAGAGACAGACAGCCCTGCACTCAGTGTTATTGATCGCTCTGTGTGTGTGTGTGAGCAGATACTTCTGCATGTGTAGCCTATGTGTGTATTAACATGTGGCAGAGAACAAGGGCAGGGCTATTGGTCTGCTGTAGAAAGGCCTCTCAGGAATTAGCTCAAATTCAAAGGGAAGAATAAGATAGGAGAGGCAGCAGACTTCCAGTGGACAGGAAGAAAACAATTATCATTTTCAAAATAAAATACATTTAAATTCAGCAGGTAAAGAAAGAATAAAAAGACAGTGGGAAACATAAACAAAGACAAACAAGGACAAAGGATTATAAGAAGATATTTGTCACAGCTACATCAAGGTTAAAGTGTGTGTGAGCCTGCCTGAAGATTTGTCTTTGTATGCCATCTGTTGACTACAGGGAGTATTTACTGAATATCATTCACACCAATAAATTATAATCAGAGTCTGCACAGAGCAGAAAGCTGTGGGAGTGTGAGCGGAGGATGAAAAAAAAATGGAAATACATTCGGCCTCTGTGGAAAACGCAGGCAGCTGACGTCAACATATCCTTGAACAGTCTGGCATGACATGTTCCACGGACGCAGACAAGGACAGTCAAATATCAGACCGGCGGTTTCAAATAACAGTGCACTAAGTACACAGTAAGTGTGACACTTAACAGGTGAATTTGCTTTAAAAAAATGAAGCTTTCTTAATGCGAAGGTTATTCAAATAACAGCTAGACGTTATACTGAGATGTTGTGACTTTTAATCGCAGGTTTTTCACAGATTCTTGCGATAATACTTAAGTACTGTAATTTGATGAGAAGCCTGCCACACTGAGGACAGTTCCAATCTCTGCATGAAATTCAACAACATAGGCTATAAACAGGTGACCTCCTCAGAGTTATAAAGTATTAACAGGCCAGGATTAATAATGCAGACAAGGAGAGCTCTGATAAGCAAACATAAACATCTGGGAGGTGTTATGTCCGTGCTGCAGCTTGTTCAACCCACCTGTTCTGTTTGGGACGTCTTAAGCAGCTCAGAACATACTTTGACTTGTTTTGTCATCTTGATACTGCACGAAATTTCCAATTTTTTAAAGAATTGCGGATAAAAAAATATTTTGAACCGACGACATTTTGCAGAGGTCAACACAGAAAATGACAAAAGCTATAAAACTAAAATATTGACTTTGTTTCTGTGATTGATTGAAGTCTAACAAGAAGTTTGACCTATTTGGGGTCTGACCCCTCCCCCCCCATCATGTCTGACTGAAGCCATCAATATTTAGGATAACATTGTACCGTTTCTCTGAGTGTGAACTACTTTTTGGCAAACAAAATGATGATGTTCACACATAACCCAGATAAGATACAAAACACATCATATTTCCTATTTTGGGTTAATAATGACGCCTTACACAAATTTTTGTTTTACCAATTTCTGTGTTTTTCTATCACAACGTGCTCTACGGTCTGCTGGAGTCGATGCACTGCCATTTCAGTTTCACTTCATTATATGTATCGCTTAAAAATCAGAGCTGTGTGCAGCAACTTACAGGTCAGGCTATTGAATGTGGAAAAGTGGATTTTAATTGTCGTGCACGCTAACTAACAGAATATATGAAAGCAGGTAAACACATAAGCAGGTAAAGAGTTACATCTACAAGAGGAAAATAAAGGAGGTATTCGTTTTTAACATTGCCATAGATGTGAGATTCCTTTTATTTGGTTTGTACGTCCCATTTCCTTTGAACATTTTGTCCAGTTATGTTAAATGTTTGAATTCCTCTCTCCGTTTCCATTAGAGAGGTATCAGACCTCAATGCTAGCCATCTGAGCTACAACAACAACAACAAAAAGCAGCAGAGAGGTTGTGGATAGGGAGCACCCTCGTCTCCCATGATTCCCTGGGCACTGTGAGAACAGAGAGAGGTGGCGTACAAACCCTCAGCAGATGGCAAAGCTTAAACCTGCTGACCAGGGGCTCACAGGCCTATGAGGGCGAGCGGCGTGAGCGTGCACAGAAAAGCCCACTCTGGCACAAGCAAAGAACATCTGGCATAGGAAGGATTAAAGCAGGGGGGGAAAAAAGGCCCAAAAAACCCCACAGGGATAGAGGGCAAGAGAAAACACCGGCAGTGAAGATCAGACAGCTTCACAAGAATAGAGACGGTTGGAGTGAAGACAGAGGAGAGTAAAAGGCAACAATGGGCCATTTGGAGGACACAGACAGTATTGCCAGGATGAGGAATTACACTAAAGAAGAAGAGAATATCCAGATACAAGAGGCTCTCCTATGTCCCCTCCAGCAGGTCATTCATGCTGTTTGGTCCATTGTGTAAATCGCCCCCCCCCCTCCTTCTTTGACCACACTCACACTCTGTCCACTCAGCATTCTGAGCATAGCCTCATGATGCTATAGGGGGTCTGTTTCGTAACAGGGGAGGAAGCAGGACCCTTTGTCTTCCTCTCCCTCCCTGTCACACACTCACACACACACACACACACACACTGCAAGACATGAACACGCAAGAAAACACACTCATCCAAAATGCCCTACCGTCCGGGGATGGGGGCAGGTGTGCTCAAGCTCCTCCATGATTCCCAAAGACTCATGGGATGCGGCTGTGGTCCCTCTGTAATGTGACTCAGCATCAGTGAGAGGCTGCCTTCTCTCCTCACCACTCTGTCTCTTTCTCCTTCCTCTGTTTCCCCGCCCACTCCCTGCTCTGCCTCTCTGTCTGTCCTCCCCTCTACTCCTCCTCCTCCACCACCCCTCTGATCCCCTGCTGCAGAGAGAAGGGGGGAGGCAGTGAAGAGGTCTCACTCTGCAGCTTTTTCTCGGTACCACAAAAGGGACGAACTTTGCTCTCAATTTGATGCTCTTGCAAATAGATTCAGTTAAAAGCATCCGAGGTTCATTCGGGTATTGTTTAAATTGTGCTACTCTCTAACGGCTGCTTAGCATTCATTCAACCCATAGAGGCATTGCATTTGTGTCAGAAATATACAGGTAAATCTGGCATCAGTGGTACAGATGTTCAGTAAGACTGATGGCTGTGCAAAAACAAGGGATGGAAACCCCTATAATCGATTGCCCTGTTGTTAAAATTGTATCATTGCTATGCTTTGTTATGTGGAAGTGACACATTCAATACACTTGATGTGGAGTCAGTCATCAATCATGTATGTGTAACTGTAGGAATATTATCACTTCAGTGCAGAAATGAGGCACGTAAGCAGAAATACATGAATAGTATTTATCTGTCCAGGATTATATTGTGTGAGTGAGTCACTGTTTCAATAGACGATCTTCGTACGCAGAGCCGGAGAGCTCTCGCCATGGCGACGGAAAAAGAGGAGAGAGCTCCAAGAAAGGACCAATCAGGGAGAAGATACAGCAGTCTATTAGTATAAGCAGTGAGGATTGGTGGAGTGGTCCATAGCACCATCAGTGAGATGATACTGAGTATCACTGCTTATTTATTCACTTGTGGGCGATCAAGTTTCCAAGAGATTAGAAAGAAATTAAGAAACTATTGTTATTAAAGTTCCCTTTCTATAAGGCTTACCTTCCAAATGGATCTAATAGCCGATAATTATTATAGTTGGAAGAAAAATAATTCAATCAAAAAACATCTACAATGTCAGTGATAGGCTAACCATATTAGTGACCTTATTATATATTGATAAGCTTAATATTTAGCACGTTCAACGTATCCTGCTGGATCCAGTGGAAGCTGCCGTTTTAGCCATCACAGTCACACCCATCTGTGAGTGGTCTGCTCTGCTTGTCAGACTACAGACAATAGTATATTTTCTATTTGGCACCTGTACATATTAAAATTGGGTGTCATTAGAAGCTTCCGACTACACTCACTAAGCTTGTTTTCCCTTTTCCCACCACAGGGCAGCCTACTTGGAAAGCATTGGCGGCTGGACTTGCATAACTATGTAGAACTGATTAAAACCGAAACTTTCATGCGTCCTTACCTTTAGTGGTCCTCTTCTGCAACAAAGAGGCGCAACAGCTGCGCAACCGGAATGCGCTCTGCTGCGTCGCTGTTTCACCATAGTGTCCAAAAAACAAAAAAAAATAAAATGATGTAGGTCTAAAGTAAATAATTTAGTTTGCCGCTTGCTCGTCTGTCTGGTTTCTCTTTGGTCTACGGGTGTCCCTTTCTCCAGCACAGCGGGCAAGAGCAGCAGCGGGACGGTCAGCCCGTCTGTCCAGTCTGTCCAACAAGACAGATCAGCTGCTCACCGCTGATGAGCTGCGACAATATGGGCCACGGTCCATTTAGCAGACCGTACAGTAGACCATCCGGCTATTTATTACACTGTACATTCATGAAACCTCTTTCTACATGTAGGCTACGAAAGTGGAGACCTTAAGCGTGCAATCTGCGACTAATAGCCGAATTAGAAATTAGTGAACTGTGTTTTACAAAACAAAAATGATAAAACATGGTTATAGCCTAAACGTAAGGGCAACAACAAATGTTAACCCACAAGTAGACAGTTCATACTGTACACAAATATACTATGTAACATACACACACTTTTTGTTTTGCCACTGAAGTAACATGATAAAGTGGCCATAAACCCATCATACTGTAGGCTAGTGTAAAATAGGCTGTGGGGAGGAAGGACAAAACACGCTTTGTGTTTTCATTGTTGGACGCATTCTGTCTCTGTGGCCCCAAATCTGGGACAGGAGCCCATTGTGCCCCACAAAGTCCCGTCTGGTCGCCATGGAAATGAGCCTCATTGGGATAAACAGGGATGACCATTGATTTACCAAGAACAGGGAGACTAACAGTCTAATCCTAGAATTTAAGGACATGGTTGTAATGTTATTGCTTCTAAAATGCAACCACCATGAATTTACTTGGAGCCTGAGGCAATAGTTACCCATATGGACTATTATATTGATTAATTAGATTGACCTTTGTTAACTCTCTGCATGCCAAATAGCATATAGGCCATACAATTGTGTCTGATATGTGTGATGTCTATGGGCTATACATTTATTGCAAATATTAATATTAGGTTGTTATTTTTTAAACGTGTAATCTATTAGCATTTAAAATTAGAGTTGCCCACTGAATTATGTTTTATCTTTGCAGGTAAAATCTTTAATTTCTGTCAGATAAATGTATTTCAGTGTCTTTAGAGTAAACTTGTCTCACAAACTGAAGAAACACTGTACTTTTTTTTGTGGTCCAGACCCTGTGGAGCAAAAGAGAAAGTTGAACAACACTGCCACCGTGCGGACAGGACTGGAGACAGCGCATCTTTTTATTGGCTGACAGCGAATGTGACGTCACTTCCTACATATGACTTTCCCCGGGAATCCGATTTGGCGCGCGGACTGTCCTGTTGTTGTGTTGACCTGCCGCGCCGTCGTGTTGTGCAGCTGTCACTGAGCAAAAACGTTAAAGGCTACAAAAGTGTAAGCCATGGCTCCAGTATCGAATCCAGAGAAAGACGTGGACGGCGGTGAGTTTGGTTTCTTTCACGTTTCTCGCTCGCGGTCTGTAGCGGGACTTGCACAGAGAAAGTAGAGAAGATAGCTAGCACGTTAGCTAGCTTACACTATCATTCTACAACAAGGGACACGCTTAGGCCATTGACACTGTGTATTAGAATGCAGTAACTAGTTAAACTAAACATTTGACATATGAGTGTAGTGTTGCTCAATCTTAAGAGAGGATAGTAGACATGGCTAATGTTAGCTAACGTTGACTCTAGTGCGCTGTTGTCATTTTCAGACCTTACTTTGTCTCTACTGCAGCTTTTCTGGCGCTGTGTGTAAGATATAGCTACTCGTGAACGAAAAAAAAGAGTTACCAGAGTGCCACTAAGTAGTGTTTTCGTGTTTAAAGAGTAGAAGTCAGAGCCAATTGTCCTCAAAACACTCCCTGTGAGCGTGACACTATTGGAGTATTATTTGTAGGGGGTTCACGTCTGTAAATCAGACACGTCATGTTCATACCTGCTTCTTTGTCGCCATGTTGACGTGTCCTCTCTCCGCAGACGATGGGGGTGATCCCTGCGGTCTGGCGAGGTCTCGCTCCAAACGGGAGAAGCGAGAGAAGGTGGGAAGAAAGTCTGCACTGGAGCAGCTTAAGAAAGCCAAGCTCGGGGAGAAGATCAAATATGAGGTGAGGGTGCATGACCATGGATATTACACCACCAGAGTGTCATGATATGGTTCAACTCGGTGTGTGACCGGTAATGTTTTTTTCCCTTAATATTAACAGTATGTCTCAGAGCCTCATCATCGAGCATTATTCTCTATTTTTGGAAATCTTACAGAGTAAATTATAGATCAATTGAAAGAATAATCACCAGATGAAATGATGATTAAACATAGGGCTGATTATTTCTATGTATTATATATTTATACATACTTTATGGTATTTATAGGTGGAAGAGTTTACAAGTGTGTATGAGGAGGTGGACGAGCAGCAGTACTCGAAGATGGTACGAGACAGACAAGAGGACGACTGGATCATTGACGATGGTGAGTCTGAGTCTCCGGCTGTGTCCACTGTGGGAATATGTGCGATGGTGAGGTCCAAAGTTAAACGTCTCTCTCCTCTCAGATGGAACTGGATATGTGGAGGATGGCAGAGAAATCTTTGACGATGATCTGGATGATGATGTAGTTGAAAGCAAAAAAGGTAAACATTCATACATTATTGCGTTGTAACACAATGTCTGTGTATTGGGCAATGTACAGTAAATATGTTTTGTACAAACAGTGAATGTGTTTTGTTTGTGTTTGCAGGAAAAGGTGCTAAAAGAGCAGACTCGAAGAAAAATGTGAAGAAGTCTGCCGTAGCGAAGCCCAACACCATCAAAAGCCTCTTCATGAACAGTAATGTCAAGAGGCCTGCCGAGGTGTGTTTCTGCTGACAGCGTTGTTTTCATGTCCCTAACTGTGCTCTGTGCGGATTTTAACTTACAATAAAACGCATGTTCTCCACTCTTTCCTGCTCTTGCCCTTTTGTCTGCTCTTGCATTGACTATAAGTATCATTTTTGTCTCTTACAGAAAGACGTGGATCTGTCCAAAGATGACCTGTTAGGAGACATCTTGCAGGACCTGCACTCTGAGGTTGGTACCATATCTAGACAATGCAGAACTGCTGCTACAAGAATTAAACCTGTGACCTTTTTAGTCATTTTATAGTCAGTTAATATGGTTTTGTCTAGTTTCTTACTCAGCCGTCTTCATATCCAACTTCTCCACCTCTTCATTGTCCATCCCCAATCTGATATGTTGTGATATCTGCTTTTAAAATCTCTTCCTCCCTCTTGTCTTCCCAGAAACCGACTCTTCTGACTCTTCCGCCGGTGGTCACGCTGAAGAAAAAGAAGTCTCTGAGATCACCCATGAATCCCTTTTCGATCAAACCTCAGATGCCAAAGGTATGCTTTAAACTAAACTACGTCACCGGCCAAATTATACAGTTTGAGTTCAATAATTGTAAACTGTTGTATGTCCCACCAGGAGTCACCTTCTGCTACGGGGTTTAAGGCCAAAGTTATCAGGCCACCACCTTCTGACCCGACCCCCGGGTCATCAGCCTCCGCACCCGCTCCTCCTGTAGAGAAGCAGAAGGCGAAGGTGGAGGCGCTGGAGGAAGAGGAAGGTTAGAAACACTGACACAGCTCTGCTCGCTTTCGGACCATTTTTTTCTTGCTTCTAGCAACAATTATAAACTTGCCTTTCATGAAAATGTGTTCTCAGTGGCGTTTGATGGGGTGGACTTCGATGAGCCGATGGAGGTCGGGCTCGTGGAGGAGACGCCTGCACTTAAAGATAATGCAGAGCCTTCACCTAAAGCGGCAGCGGCGGCAGTTAGAGTGGAGCCCAAAGCAGAGCCTCAGGACCCGGTCTTATTGTAAGTCTTTTATCGGCTTTGTTCGCTTTTTCTTTTTAAAAGAAACATGGTTATTTTTTCCGGCTCATTTTCTAAATACCGTACATTTAAGGACCTTCAAAAATGTGAACCACGAGCTTCAGTTGTAGCGTCTTCCTCTCGCTGTCCAGGTCCGGCAGGATCGGAAGCTCGTGGGGACAAGAGGAGGACGGAGGAGTCGGCGAGGCTCCAGCGGAGATCCAGGTGGACTCCAGCCAACTCCCGCTGGTGGAGGGAGCAGACGGGGAGCAAGTGTTCCGCTTCTATTGGTTGGACGCCTTTGAAGACCCCTACAGCCAACCAGGTAAGGCGTGCTCCTGACCGTGAGTGAATATAGAGTTGAGCTATATCATGTTATTCCATAATCCAAAGATCCTGTTCAGATTTGTAGAGCACATCCCGGTATTTTAACTCCTCTCTCGCCTAGGTGTGGTGTACCTGTTTGGGAAAGTGTGGATTGAGTCTGCGGAGTCTCATGTGAGCTGCTGCGTCACTGTCAGGAACATCGAGCGGACCATGTACTTCCTGCCTCGCGAATATGTAAGTTTCCCGCTCGGTCGCATTACTGCCCGTATATCATGAAAATGAGATTGCAGGATTTTAGGAAACATACTTCATACATACATACATTCATACTTTTATTGCCTGTTTTCCATGAACAGAAAGTGAACACCAAGACGGGGGAGGTGACGGACACTCCCGTAGGACTGATGGACGTCTACCAGGAGTTCAACGAACTCTCCGAGAAGTTCAGGATCATGAAGTTCAAGTCCAAGGTCGGTGCCAACCGTGGTTACGGACTGAACAGCACAAGTGGTATTTTCTTTTGTCACGTAACAGGCGCTTTTTGTTTTTCTCTACAGAAAGTGGAGAAGAGCTACGCTTTTGAAATTCCTGATGTGTCCACTCAGAGCGAGTACCTGGAAGTCCGATATTCTGTGAGTGGATGTGCACACCTTACTAGATGTTACGTAGCACTGGTCCAGGCCTGTATGGTTATCTATGACAACCTATTTGTCTATGTGGTAAATATTGTTGTTTTTTTTTTTTGCAGGCTGAGTTCCCTGCACTGCCTTCAGGCCTTAAGGGGGCGACCTTTTCCCACGTTTTTGGAACCAACACTTCCAGCCTGGAGCACTTCCTCCTCAGCAGGAAGATTAAAGGGCCTTGCTGGCTGGACATCAAGACACCACGTAAGGAGGGTTTTTGACTTTCATTTAGTTTAACTTGGATCTGTGTTTTGTACGAGTACAATTCATTCTATGTGTTGAAAATGCACATGTGCCCACTCTGTCTGTGTTAGAGCTGATCGGCCAGCCGGTCAGCTGGAGTAAGGTGGAGGCTCTGGCCCTGAGGAGTGACCTGGTCACTGTGGTCAGAGACCTGTCCCCTCCGCCCATCACCGTCATGTCCATCAGCCTCAAGACCATCCAGAACCCCAAGACGCACCACAACGAGGTCAGAATGAAGAGGGGGATTTTGTGTTATTTTACGGTGTGCTCAGACAAAAGCTGAGATCCTCAGTGAGCAACGACCTGATGCTGTAATTGTTCCACTGCAGATCGTGTCCCTGGCTGCACTAGTCCACTATCAGTTCCACATGGATAAAGCTCCACCTCAACCTCCGTACCAGAACCATTTTTGTGGTACGTTATTTAAAGTCACTCAAAATTTGAAAGCTCAATTGACAAGGAGAAATCTGAGAGAGCGGTAAAAATGCGAAATGTTTTGTAACCGTTATTATATTCTTTTTTTGTCTTTTTGCAGTAATCAGTAAACCGGCTGACTGCATCTTCCCCTACGACTTCCAAGACGCTGTGAGGAAGAAGGTGAGTGTCCACGAGGCTACGGAGCTCAGCTTGGTTCTAGAAACAGGAAAAGCTTGTGTTTTATAACTGGCAGAAAGATCAGTGGTTTACACATTTACAGGATATTTACAGATGTAGCAGGGATAGGAAATTGCTGGTAAAGGACTACAAAAATAGAGTAAACTTTATTATTTATAAATCATTTTCCACAGTAATTTGCAGAATGGTAGTTTGGTTTAATTTATACAATAAGTGGTTTCCATTTAAATTGATGGAGGGTATATATTTGCCTCCGTTGTCTTCATTGTAAATGACCCTCTGCTGATAGAACGGTAAAGTGGAGATCGCCGCTACGGAGCGGACTCTGCTGGGCTTCTTCCTGGCCAAGATGCACAAAATCGACCCTGATGTGCTGGTGGTGAGTACAAGATGTTTGCATGGAGTGATTGTATACAGTTTCAGATGACGGCGCAGTGTTTCATCACGGTGAAAAATGAGTATGCTAATCCTCCTCCTTCTCCTGCAGGGTCACGACATCTTTGGTTTTGACCTGGAGGTGATTCTGCAGAGGATCAGCGTGTGCAAGGTTCCCCACTGGTCTAAGATCGGACGCCTCAGGAGGTCTAATATGCCCAAACTAGGGGTAAGAAGAAGAAAAATCCAGAGCAATATATATATATTTATATTTCGATACCATATTGTACATCACTGTACGCTGTTGCAGGGTCGCGGTGCCTTTGCAGAGAAGAGCGCAACCTGCGGCCGTCTGGTGTGCGACGTAGAGATCTCGGCCAAGGAGCTGATTCGCTGTAAAAGTTATCATCTGACTGAACTGGCTACACAGGTGTTGAATATGGAGAGAGTCACGGTCCCTCAGGAGAACATCAAGGACCTCTACAGGTCCGTACGCCCTCAACAGGAAAGATTCAAACCAAATCAAGCTGTGTATCCTAAAATATGTGTGTGTGTGTGTATCAGTGACTCTCCTCACCTGCTCTACCTGTTGGAGTTGACCTGGACAGACGCTAAGCTGATCCTCCAGCTCATGTGTGAGCTCAACGTGCTGCCGCTGGCCCTGCAGATCACCAACATCGCTGGCAACGTCATGGTAACACTTCGTTAAACAAGTCGCCCACAGCTGCAAGACAAACAAACATTAAATGTCACAGCAAAGCCGTCCTCGACACTTGTTTCCTGAGCTCAAACAGGAAGCGCAGATTACAATTAAAACTGCCGTCACTCCACAATATGCTGAATGTCATTATATCAACATCCAAATAACTTGACGCACTTAAAATGCATCTGGCTCTCTACCGACATTATTTCAATAATAATAATAAACACATGGGATGGACAATCATTGAAGTTTTTGAATTCCTGACAGCAGTTCTTCTCGCTTATTGCACAACTCAAAATACAGAAAATTGAAGTTGGAAACAAAACGGTTTGCAGACAAAAGCAAGGCTTTCTTTTCCTGTGAATGAAGAGAAAAATCTTTAAATATGCCGTTGTCAAAGTTTAGAGCCAGCGTATAATGATCAGCGAGTGTGTTTCAGCAAGTACACACTTTAACTTACAAATTACACTACAAACTTCAGTTACAATGGGACATAAAGATATCATCACCACTGAGCCTTCAGGCTGGCCCCGGTTATATTTAACCTCTGGTTTATTTGCCTCCTGCTTCGTCTCTGCAGTCTCGTACTCTGATGGGCGGTCGCTCTGAGAGGAACGAGTTCCTGTTGCTTCACGCCTTCCACGACAAAAACTACATCGTCCCCGACAAACCCTCCTTCAAAAAGACCCAGCTGGAAACGGTAAAGCCTCACAACATTATTCTTTAGTGACGTATGGTCATGTGACAAATGTTTCACGCTCGTTTTTTTTCTCTTCGTCGCAGGTCGAGGGAGAAGACGATGTGGATGCGGGGAAAGGCAAGCGGAAGAAGAAGGCCGCCTACGCTGGAGGTCTGGTGCTGGATCCTAAAGTTGGTACGTCCGTGTTCTCAGTTTTCTGTCTGGTTTTCTGTCTGTGTACATGTTTCTATAGCCTCCCTTTCTCTCTGCAGGCTTCTACGACAAGTTTGTGCTGCTGCTTGACTTCAACAGCCTGTATCCCTCCATCATCCAGGAGTTCAACATCTGTTTCACCACCGTACAGAGGGAGGCTCTCAACACGCAGAAGAAGAAGAATGAGGTGTTTGTTCATATGTTTGTTGTAGAAACTGGTGTGTTTTTGTAACAAAGAAGATTAATTAACAGATGAATTATCTAAAACTATTCACAGTAACGGACTTAATAGATTGATCCCAATGACCTGGTACAGAGGCGTAAGCCCCAGACTTTTTTTTCTTCTTCCCACCAGAGAAAACTTTCCAGCTAACTTCCATCTCTTGTGTCCATGGTAACAGGAGGATTGGTCGGAGGAGATTCCCGAAATTCCAGACACGAACCTGGAGATGGGAATCTTGCCCAAAGAAATCAGGAAGCTGGTCGAGCGGCGTAAACAGGTCAAACAGCTGATGAAACAGCAGGACATCAGCCCAGACCTCTACCTGCAGGTACACACACACACACACACACACACACACACACACACACACACTGTTCAGTGTTTACAGTTGTTCATAATTCAAGTTTGTGGGGACACTCGCCTCCCTTTTTGTTTGTTTTGAAAGGTTATTGTTTTCCTATTGTTTAAAGTTAGTTGTTGTGTAAGACTGTGTTTACTGATGTTGAGGCTGTTTGAAGTGATAGTGCACACAACATCTTTTAGGTATTTAACTCGCACCCGGAGGCTTTAAAGGAGGCTATAATGACTGTGTAGCTTGCTCCTGTGATTGTGTTTGAAATCATGTCACTTAAAAAAAAATACTACAACTGGTGACCATTTTTTTTGTTAAGGGGAAAAAATCAACAAACATCCAAACACTCCTGCAGAATAATGGACTTCTTCTCTGTCCATCTGTAGGCTCATTATGCTCCTAACTGTCATTGTTTTGCCGAAGTATGGGGACAAAAATCCAAATCACTACAGCAAGTAGCACGCTTATTTCAGCCAGATATTCATCATCATCACACTGGTGTGCAGACGGACATCTTTGAGTGAGCAACATATCGTCGTCTGCTCTCAGCGTCATTCAGTCGGCGCGTTGGTGCCGTTTGACAAAATGGCGATCGTTTGGATTCGGATGATTGAAGTGCAACTCAAATCCACAGATTAATTTGAACAGACATGGTTACCACAACTGTAGGAGGTGAACCATCTAACCACACGTGGTGAAGAACATCTGTGGGCTTGCATGTCACTGTGATGTTTTTCCGTCGTCTGACATTTTTTTACTTACCTTTTGAGACGATTTCTTAACCATTTTTTGAGTTTTCAAGGAAAGTATAATTTGAGTCCGTCTGTCCTTTCAGTATGACATTCGTCAGAAGGCCCTGAAGCTGACCGCCAACAGCATGTACGGCTGCCTGGGATTCAGCTACAGTCGCTTCTACGCCAAGCCACTCGCTGCGCTGGTCACATACAAGGGCAGAGAGGTGAGTCAACGCCTCAGAAGACAATTAAAGCAAGTTGAGCGTTCAAAACACACTCGATACTGATTAAATAATGACGATATCCTCGAGTCCACTTTCATCCACAAGAGGGCACTGCTGCATCAATTTTCACACCGTGCACCACTCCTTCCTCTATTCCCTTTTTCTTTCTGGCTTCTTCCTCATCTTCTATTTCTCACGTTTGTCATCCTTTTCTCTCTCCCCCAACACGATCTCTTCCTCCCTCACCCTGTGCCCTTCCCTGTTCCAAATATGATTATTCCCTCAAGTTCATTTTGTCACGATAAGAGACCTGTTGTGTTGTCGGTGATATCAATAGCTCCGTGTAAGTATTTTCCACTAACAAAACTGCCACAGATGGCACGCACACACGCGCACATGCCGCTCGCACTCTCTGCATGCAAAGTACGGTTGTGTAATGACTTCTTTCAACATGGAACAAAATAGGCGCGCACGCTCAATAAATCGGCGCACAGAGGCATGTGTCCTGCATGACACAAATGGCTAAATCTGGTATCGTAACTGAACACCACACACACACACACACACACACACACACACACACACACACACACACACACACTCTCTCTCCCCACCATGTCTGTCATAGTACTCATGTTCATTTAATGAGCTCGAACAGTACACATCCTCAGCAGAGGCGTCAAGCTTTGCCTCAGGGGAGTCCTTCATTAAGATCCCCTTACACACTCATTGTGTTCTCTAATAGAGGGCATGGCAGTAACTGTGCGTGTGTGTGTTATTTTGTCAGTCCGTTTGTGCCTCCAGTCACGCTCGTCGTTGGGCTGACAGAGCTACTTTGTAAAAGTTGCACATTTGATTCTGTGGTACAGGTGGGAGTTTCTCTCCCTGCAGACGTACTGCGTGTATCTTTGTTAACAGCAGGGGGTGGATGGGGTAATTACATTTGACCTCCTTCTGGCTTTATTTTATCCAGGACGTGGCACCACAAAGTGCACGTCTGAAATGGTGACAGTGCTGCGTTTTGCAAGTTGCATGCAGGCTTGTTAAATATCTGTGATGATTCAAGTCTGCATCCCTCCTAATAGTTAAAGAGCCTTCACATAAACATACAAATGTAATTGTAAACAAACTGTAAACAAAGGCTCTTGTAGCATTATTTAAGTGTTTTGTGGCAGTTGGGTTAAAAATAAATAAACATGTGTAATGTGTTTCCATTCACAGACCCTACAATTAGGGCTGGGTGATAATTGGAATCACATCGTGATGAAATCATATCGAGATATCATGATATACAATTATGTAGTCTCAATTGATAATAACAAGCACATACTGATTCAATCTTTTCCGAAAGTTCTTAATTAAGTGAGTTTTTAATTCACACGGGAGTAAACAAAACCATTTGGTTCTTTCGTACAAACTATTTAGTTATTGAATTCTGTATCGTGATCTATATTGTTAAGATATGACATGATCTATATCAGGATAGAAGAATGTTGCCCAATCGCCCGCCCACCCAAGCCGACAAAGGCGGTCTTATACACAACTCTGCATTCATTGCTGTTGTAGCTGACTGCCGACCTGCCGGGCGGGCCTTATTATCATACGGGATAAAATGATTCCGTTGATCTTGCGTGATCTTTATCAGCTGCTGCCATCTTGTGCAACTCAGTTCTGTGAAAATCGATTTTTAGTCTTTAACTTCATTAGTACTCTGCATACAGTGGAGAGCGATGTGACCGATCGGAGAGACCTGCATGAAAAGGTCACCAGTCAGATCTGAACCCCCCCACAGTGTTCTGATTTCCTGACACGGCCCTCAACCCGCTGAGGTAGCAGCAGATCCTTAGTGTTTTGTTTACTTTGTATCCATGATCCTAGACACGCATCTATTTATACTGCTGGGGCGCGACATCTACCACCACGGTGTCCCGCTGTAAAGGAGATGCTGTCGATAATGTTTATGGTGATTAAGTGCTCTCCAAAATCTATATTTGGACATTTATTTGTTGGATGTTCTGCTCAAAATCTTTGATATCTTGATATGATCCAGTTGGTCGAACTAACTCAGTTGCTCACTAATGTTTATCCAGCCCTGCTAATGATTTGGTTTTCTGGATTGCCTATGCTACAGTTAGTTAGCCATCACACCATTCGTACACCGGCGGACTCGGGCAAAGAAGCCGAGGGCTTCAGTCCGATACCCGTAAGCCAAGTAGTTCTTGGTAGTTTCCGACTGCAGCGAGCCAGGAAGGCTGGCCGGCGTTTAGTTTCTAATGTATTTGTGGGTATTGCCGTTTGCACCCCCCCCCCCCGTTTTATCGTCACATTTGCACTCTCCTTTCATATCAAGATTTAGGAGGCTTTTTATTTTTGTAATTGTAACACGTACACAGACCGCTGCTCTGTCCGCAGTGTAAATCCACCCTCCCCTTCATCTGTCCGGACGAGCGTGCGGGTTGAATGTGCATGTGTCGTGCGTATTTATTGATTGGCTTAGCTCTCATCTTTCTCTCACTCTCGTTTTATATTGAGGCCTAAACCCCCCCCCCCTTCCCCCCCTTTCCCCTGTGGCAGAATGGGTCAGGCGGGGGGCCACAGCGGTTTCTCAGCCCAAGGAGGGTGCAGACGATGGGGGCTCGGAGGGGGAGGACGGACCCTTGGCGGTGGCTCTTTCTGATCAGACTTGCCAAGTTAAGAGGGGAAAGCCCCCCCACTTAGCTCCCCTCCCGACTCTTGTGTGTGTATACATCTTCAGTGTGTCTTGTATCTGTCCGTGTGTGTGTGTGTGTGTGCGTGTGTGTGTTGACGTACATGTGTCGATTGCGTGTGCACAAGTGCTACTGGCCGAACTCTGCCCTTTGTCGCGGGGACCATTTGTTGTGGCCCTGCTCTGTCCTGGTATGTGTGTGGGTATTAAGGGGAGGGATGATGGGTATTAAGAGGAAGGTGAAGGTTTAGGATTACACAGCCACAGATTGATGTCCCCCTCAACCCCTCAGTGTTATTTTGGGTTCCTTTGTATGTTCGCCAGAGAACAGTTGGGTGCATAGAACCCGATATATGAAACACTGACAACTTACACGCATGTGGTTATAATAGGCTGATAAATGCGTTCGTTATGGCAGGAAGACTTTTATTGTCCGCTGACCGCTGGCTGGTGTGTCGCTGACTTCAGCTGACCGTTTTCCCTTTACAAATAGAGAGAATTCAATGGAGGATTTTCTACAGGAGCTCTTACAGATCAGAGATCAGTTGCAGGAAAAAAATACTCCGTGGCATTTGGCTGTCTGGCGGTGTTAATTTCCGATGCTTGCGTTAATGTTGCTAGTCACAGCAAATGAAGTGTCTGTTAGCAGTCAAAGGGCACCGCAAAAGCTGCTTTGCCACTTTTATGACATGCTCGGTTTAGAAGGCACGTACACCATCTCTTGTCTCTGGACAGAAACTCGTGCGCGTGTGTGTGCGCGTGTGTGCGCGTGCGTGCTCCTAATCGAGTGATGTTAACAACAGGGGCCGGTTGAAGCCGTTGATTGTGGAGGAACGCAGATTGGTTTGACATTTGACCCTTTTGACAGCAAATCTGACAGCCATTAGCAGGTGTGTGTGTGTCAGGATGGAGGATGACTCCTGAAAGCCATTCTGCTGTAATTGAGTCTGTCCTGTCAGCCTGACAGGAGCTCGTAGTTCACATTTTTGGACGGCATGCAGAGTGAGGGCTAGAAGCGGGCCTGAGTAACGGAGCCGATGGTGTGGAGAGGTCAAAGTTTGGTTTCGGTTAAACCTCTATGTGCACTTGCGTGTGTGTGAGGGTGCTGGTGCTTGTAATGAAGTCTAAGTAAATGTTGTTGCCTCTGGTGTCCCTCATTCAGGTTCTGTATCATTCCTCTTGTCTCAGGAATCACAAATCATTTCCCCGAATTAGACGCAGGAATACCTAAACCGCCCTATTGTGTGTGTGTGTGTGTGTGTGTGTGTGTGTGTGTCTGTCAGTTGATGGGGTTTGAGTAAATATTGTTGTCGCCATTTCTTTCATTCAGGGTCTCAATCGCTTCTGCGGTCTCAGATTCACATGGGTCATTTTTACATTTCCCCGAATTAGCTTTAAGAATACATAAGCCTGCATACGCTGATGTATCTCTGTGTGTGTGTGTGTGCATGCTCATGTCTGGGGAAATGAGGGCTGCATGTTTCCGTGGGCCCGTGGCCCCTTAGAGCTGGCTTTACTCCTGATAGGAGTGGACTTAACAAATAGTCACATGGGAGCAACGCTGCTATTTTGGCTCCATCAGCTCGTCAGTGAGGGCCGACAGTGGAAAGGACGAGGGTTGGGAATCCAAACTGCGACGTTAGTAACACCTGCTAATGAGGCCATGTGAGACCTGGCTAATGGCAGGGATTATAATTCATTACGGATTGATCCGACATGTGGCGTCTTTGTCGGGGGCCACTGACGGAGCTGTAAATGAGAGGATGATTAGTACATGGTTTTAGCTGACTTGACAAGGAGGTGATAATTATTGCTACTTCTATTAAAACCTCAACGTTTTGTGATTAATGACGTACTGAACTTGATCCTCTGATCTACTTTACTGCATTTGTGTTATTGAACCAATTATCTATTAATAATAAACACTTTAAATTGTGCAGTGACAAAAGTCGTGTCATCTTCCTGAACCACTTATTGCCTGCTATCTGAAATATCACATTTTGAATGCGCTCATCGACTCCCTGCACAAACATTTATTTATTTGCCCGGCAACATTTTTACGACCTCATTGGTGACTGCTGTGACTGTGCCACGGGCGAAGTGACACATCGGGATGTGTCCTCTTTAAGCTATCGAAGTAGCACATTTTGAACTGAGCAGCCAGCGGGAGGATTGTTGTCATTGTCGAGTTATTTTCGATCAACGGCTGCAGACGAAGCTTTACAACCGATTGACCCTCCCAGTAGCAGACATGAGAACACAGCAATGGCATCTGACAGGACAGGTGTGTGTGTGTGTGTGTGTGTGTGTGTGTGTGTGTGTGTCTTTTTGTCTTTGCATTCATGCATTCAAGTAAAAATCATTTCAGTGAAAGAAGGGTTTTCATTCTCTGGCTGTGTATGGAGGTGTGTGCACAGGAGAGCTCACATGAGCAGAAGAGAGACTACGAATCTTTTATGCATCTGTGTGTGTGTGAGAGATTGTGTTAGTGAAAGAGAGGGGGTCTGTTTGTGTGTATGTGCATGCATACTCATGCCCCCCCCCCCCCCCCCCCCCCCTTAGCTCTGACAGTGGTGTGTTCCTCCACAGGTGCTATTTCAGTCGGCCGACTGTCATCTCAAAATGCTTTTCAGCTGAGTGCTTTTCAAAACAATCGTCACTGGTGCCCCCAGGCTCTTTTTACAAGGGTCCTCTGCCGCACTGAGGTTTAACATGCTGCCTCTGATCTCCTGATCAGTGGGGGAGGGAGTTATATGTGTGTGTGAACCCGTGCTCCCGCACTTGTCTCCCTCGTTCCCTCCGTTGGCAGCTTTGAGTGTTGCCGACTACAGCCGCACCACTTAGCCCGACTCCATCTTTTAGCGACGTCGGCAGGGTCGGATGCCGTGACGTCTTGTGTGTCCTCAAAGTCTTCGAGGCAGATCGTTGGGTACATTATGTTTTTAGAAATGGGGAGTTCAAAGTGAAAATGTCACCTGTAAGCTGTGCAACGTCAGTGTTGAAATACTGTGGGAACACTTGAACTCGTGTGCTACTGTCAGCTCCTAAATTATAGCGACAGACGAGCAGACAACAGCTTGAAGCTGCCATTTGCTGCAAGTTGCAGGCTTATCTAAAATATGGTTTAATGTCTATTGAGTTTAGTGGGACTGCTGTTCATGTGAGGATTACTTTCATGTAAGTTAGGAGGCACGGAAACATAAGAGAAGGAGAGATTCGCCTCGACTCGTTGTGAGTACGAAACCATTCCAATCTGACTTCAAATCTGATCATTCATTTGGACCGCTAGATCCCAGCCAATGGTGAGAAGTCGTAAGTTCCCAGAGCTCATGTTGACTTATTCAAATGTCTAGTTTCATCCGACCACTGTCTCTTATTCTCAGGACATTCAGTTTACAAACAAAGAAGAGTAGGAGAACGTTAACGTTGATTTTCTGTCAAATATACCGATTTAATTATTAAAGCTCTACAGCTCTAATGTGGTTGATGTTGAAAGACAGCTTGGTTTCACTGAAGGACACAGCATCGGGAGAACATGAAGTAATACGAGTCAAGCTTTTTCAGTTGTCTGCCCCAGTATGAGCGGCATGCACGGTGCTGACACACACACACTCTTTGTACCCCCTGGGGCTGTGTGTTTGCGTTGGTCCGTATAGTATGTGTGTGTTGGCATGTGCTTAAAGATGAGCGCTCGCCCACAGACAGTTGCATCATGGTCAAACGACTTGTCTTTCACGGTTCATTCCTTAAAGCGCTGTGTCCTGCGGGGGACTGACAACATATGGAAAACCCGTCTAAATCAGTCCACACATCAATTACATCAACGCATTCTCACCTCGCTCCGTCTCCGTCTTTCCCACATCTCTGTGTTCATCACTCCTCTGCCCTTTCCTTCCATCTATTCTCTGATCACCCCCCCCGCCCCCTCTCTTTCAGCGATTTTACAATGTATACTGAGGTACAGTAGCTCTTCCTCTAGTGTCTGTGTTAGTGGGTGTTTAACATCTCTGTAACCGATGGAGGCCGCCGTGGACCAGCAACTGTCCTGTGCGGTGAGGTGAAATGTTTTTGTCAATGGAGTCTGCTGGCTTTGAAGAGAACGTAGATTAAAAAAATAACGGCTTCACTGTCGGACAGCAAGATAAAGCAGTGAAAATATCCCCCCGTACCAACCTTCACCAGCATGATAGTAGCCGGCCAGTTCATGGTCAAAAATGTAAATGAATACGTGGAACCTCACAAAGGGACTGAGCGAGCACATCACATCTAGTTTTGCCTCGGTCACATTTTAACTTTTAAAAAAGCCATTTCATTCACGATTTGAAGGCTTTTATCCCTCAAAAAATATGCAAAATATTTAGCTTGTTAGATGTATTGACATTGTGTCAAAGATCACGGTTAGTTTCTGCTCCGAAGATTTCTCCAACTGTACTCTGAGCCCGTTATTTCATCGTCCCCTTTCTTCCCCTCCTAAACTAGCAGGAGGAGGGCGAGTCATTTTGTCTGCACCAAAGCTTAGCAACACAATTTAGTGTGTGTGTGTGTGTGTGTGTGTGTGTGTGTGTTTTTGTTGAGACCTTGACCTTGACTGCAGTCTCTAATGGAGAGGAGGCTGTTCTGTGAATGACTCAAACCCACCCTCCTCCCCCCGCCGCTGTACAGTGGTATGTAGCAGCCTATAAAGCATGCTTACAAGTCCCACTCTGGTTTCAGGGAGTGGACCCCCTCCTCCTCTCCAGCCCCAGCCTGACCCCGCCCCTTCCTCACACTCTGAAATAGCCACGTCCTTGTCCCCACACGGAGCCCGGTGTGAGTCGGGGTTGTGTATATATGCAGCCGTGGTTGATTGAGGAGCAGATTGCTGGTGACAGGTCACACTGCGTTCCATCCCTCCGACCCCCCAGATTAGCCACCCGAAGCCCCCTGCCCTCCCCTCCTCTGGGCCCCCACCTGTTGGGATCCCTCCGCTGCTCAGATCTCTCTCTCACACACACACACACACACACACACACACACACACAGAGTGGACAACCTGCGTTAACAGAATTCCCTTATTTGTCCGTCACTCACTCTGCGGGTGATAAAGGCCATTACGAGTCATTAAGGTGTTTGAGTGTGTGTTGCTCGGCTAGGATGTGTGTGGGCTGAATAGACGCCTGTCACAGCATGCTCTCATAATTGCCCTCTTAGCCAATTATCCCCCATTTAAAGGCAAGTCACCTGCTCTGCTCCAATGTCCACACAAAGACTTGCGCACACACACACACACACACACACACACACAGAATAAATAACATGGAAACTTAATATTTAATCATTGTTTGTTCCTCAGTGATTTATTTGTTTACTGTGCTGAAATGCGTAATATGCAGTAGTGCTTTTTGTCGTTCATACTGTTGTGTCTGTTCTCCTTCAGATTCTGATGCACACCAAAGAACTGGTTCAGAAGGTGAGTTATTAACAAGCCAACGTAATACTAATCTCGTAAAGGAAACTCAAAAGACCTTTCAGTGTTCAATAACGATGCAAAGGACTGTGTAAAGAAATGGGAAACTGTCATATCACCATCAGTGAAACGAAAAGAAGAAGAAGAAAGGAAACTGTTAAAAACTTTGCAGGGTTTGACCTTAAATCTATATCAGGATAAATGATGTATATCCCAATTATGATGATTTAAAACGTTATTGTCCGGCCCTAATTTGAAGCTAATATATCGTCTTCCTCATAAGACCGTTTTTTCATGTCATTTTTCCACTTATGTGACTCAGATGAATCTGGAAGTCATCTACGGAGATACTGACTCCATTATGATCAACACCAACAGCAGGGCTCTGGAGGAAGTCTACAAACTTGGCAATAAGGTGCGTCTGTGTCAGCGGTAGAGAAGTTCTGCATCGCTTTTCTTCAGTTCGATTTTTTGACATTTTCACTGATTGCATATGTGTGTGTGTGTTTGTTATTTCCAGGTGAAGGCCGAAGTAAACAAGCTCTACAAACTGCTGGAGATCGACATCGACGGTGTGTTTAAGTCCCTTTTGCTGCTGAAGAAGAAGAAATACGCCGCCTTGGTGGTGGAGAACCACGGCGAAGGACGATACAGCGTCAAGCAGGAGCTCAAAGGCTTGGACATCGTCCGCAGAGATTGGTGCGACCTGGCCAAGGAGTGTGGCAAGTACGTGAGATAAACCAAACCGAACTGGGACTGAAAGCCACACATCAGGCGGTGCAAGGTATCCATTTAGATTGGTGTGTTCCTCTGCTCCTGCAGCTATGTGATCGGTCAAATCTTGTCGGACCAGAGCCGTGATGTCATTGTGGAGAACATCCAGAAACACCTGGTGGAGGTGGGAGAAAAAGTAGCGGCCGAAACGATTCCACTCAACCAGTTTGAGATAAACAAGGTGAGGGCATGGCTGTATGTATGAACGGCTCCACATCTGAATAGTGTGAAACAAACATTTAGCAATAGTTTTTCCGATAAGTTGATTGGACCTCAAATTCAAAATAAATGCTGCAACACAGATCAACTGTTCTCTGAACTGGAGAATCCATCTTTTTACTTAAGTACTTGGCTTAAAACGTCAACAAGTTATGATATGGATTCATTTCATCTCTGGAGTAATCTGCAGTTAAGATAATCACAGGCAGATGTATTTTTGCATCCGTGTGGGACAAAGGAATTAATTGAAACGATTCACGGATTGTAACAACAGTCTGTGATGTTAGTTTAAGCTGTTTTCTCACGAATACATGGAATTATAAAACCGCCGAATAACAATGTTCGATGAAGGCTGCGGCCATCGTTGTGACGCGCAGACGCACGTGCCGCATTGACGTATGTTCGACGATTGCGTCGACGAATCGCCCCCAGGCCATACCTTTGTATTCATTGCTGCTGTCGTACTCTCTCCTCCAGGCTCTGACTAAAGATCCTCAGGACTATCCAGACAAGAAGAGCCTCCCTCACGTCCACGTGGCTCTATGGATCAACTCCCAGGGCGGTCGCCGGGTCAAATCTGGAGACACGGTGTCGTACATCATCTGCAAGGTGTGTGTGTGTAGGAGAGAAACATAGATATAGTCTCCTGACACACTGGTCCACGAGTCATTCCAGCGGTTTTCTACTTTACATTTCAACAGCTAATCATTAAAATCAAGAATATCCAAAGATAGATTTTTAGTGTACACTGTAGTATAAAGTACAAGTTACCACTCACACCGCTGTCTGTCTTTTCTTTGTCCCCCTAGGACGGCTCCACGCTGGCGGCCAATCAGAGGGCCTATGCTCTAGAGCAGCTCCAGAAGCAGGAGGGTCTCAGTGTGGACACTCAGTACTACCTGGCCCAGCAGGTCCACCCTGTGGTGTCCCGCATCTGTGACCCCATCGAGGGCATCGACAGCGTGCTCATCGCCACGTGGCTGGGTATGTCAGACCGAAGCCTTCAGTGTTATTGAGAGCGGGTAGGCCCACATCACTCTGGTGTTGAATTATGACTTGAGAAATTTCAGGTTTCCTTCAAAATATGACAAATTACACGATTAATGAAAAAAAAAAAAATGTTCAGTGAAAGTATTTAATTAAAATTTAGCGAGTGACACCAACACGCATAACGCTTCTTGTAGTGATTAAGTGACACTGTGGCTCAGTGGGAGAGCAGGGTCCTCCTTCAATCAGAGGGCCGGCGGTTCGATACCCGCCTCCGCTGAGTGGTCAGAATACTAGAAAAGCGCTGTACAAGTCCATTTACCATTTGCAGTTTACAGACATGCTATTATATAAATAAACAATGACCGTGTGGTATTTGCGGGGGCACAGCTTACTTTGAGTGATAGTACTAATCTCTCTTTATGTATGTGTTAGCATTAGTAATGATTCCGGTTTTATAGTCTGGTGACAGCTGAGGCAGCCAAATATAGAAAGGCTGTCACACCTAATGTCACAACAGCCTAATAAAAGTACAAAATAGATGTTTCATTGTTGTCTAATAGTCATAAAATTAAGTGGTTTGAATGGAAAAATTCCAGAGTATTTCGTCTGTTTTGTACACGAAAATGCGACAGGATAAAAAAATAAATCTGTGGTGTCATGCAGAATTATCTTTTGTCCATACCAGGTCTGGACCCGAGTCAGTTCCGAGCTCACCAGCAGTACCAGAGGGAGGAAGAGGCCGATGGCACGCTGGGAGCTCCGGTCCAGCTGACCGACGAAGAGCGCTACAAAGACTGTGAGAGGTTCACCTTCACCTGCCCTCAATGCGACACCGACAACATATACGACGGCGTCTTTGAAGGAGCTGTGAGTAGAAGTCCCCGTGCACTGCGTTAGCCATCACAAACCTCCTTTACTAGTCTTCTGCTGTGGTTTTACATGTTTTTCTATGGCCATGGAGCAAGATATACAACAAGTATACGTCCTGCATCAGTGTAGCGACGAGGAGACTTGTAGTTTAAGTATATTCTATCACTAACAATGTGTTTCACAGGTATAATGGATTAATCAGTAGAGACACCCTTTAAGAGTCTGAGGGTGGAGAGGAATTTCCGTCAAACTTCCTGTGAGGGATTCATGCTTCAGTCATCCTCCATATTGTGTCTCTGTCTGTATTTTTAGACAGCTGCCTGGCTCCAATACAGACTCTGTTTTCATTGGCATAGTTTGGACTCCACAACTTGAAAAGCCTTTCCATAACCCCTGCTGCTCCATGAACGCACACACACAATGATCTCCTACCATTTGTCAGTCCAAGGTCGTGTGTGTGTGTGTGTGTGTGTGTGTGTGTGTGTGTGTGTGTGTGTG